GCGTGACTAATTGCTCAATTTCTAGATTCCATCTGCACTATACATTTAAAGCAGCATCATACCACGTTAGGCACTCATGGCTTCCCCCAAAGAATCCCAGAAACTGTGGTTGTTAAGGCTACTGAGAATTGTTATTCCTGAAACAGAACTACCATTCTGGGAAGCTGCAGTGCTGTGAGGGGAATAGGGGTCTTCTAACGACTCTCAGCACCCTTAACAAACTACAGTTCCCATTATCCATTGGAGGAAACCATGACTGTATAATAGTGCTTTAAACGTATAGTGCAGATGGAGCCCTCATTAAGGCCAATCCGGCTTCAGAGATATGGGGGACAACTAAGGCCTTATTCACACCACACATTTAAAACATTATGATGCCACTTTAAATAGCCATGGCTTCTCACAAAGTATTCTGGGAGCTTAGAGTTGTTTGGAGACGCCAATTCCTCTCTCAGAGTTACAGTTTCCAGAGTAGTTTGACAATCAATCCCTCTTCAAATGGAATTTTGGGAACTGTAGTTCTGGAATGGGGAATAGGGTTTCTTAATAATAAATAATAATAATAATAATAATAATAATAATACTTTATTATTTATACCCCACCCATCTGGCTGGGTTTCCCAGCACCTTTATCAAACTACAGCTCTCAGGATTCTTTGGAGGAAGCCATGACTGTTCAAAGTGGTATCATAGTGCTTTAAATGTGTGCTGTGAACATGGCCTAACAGCAGTCCAGATGATCTCAGCGATCAAACTGCAATTTTCACTTTCATATTCTCCTTCCAGAGTGACCAGAGATCAATACATGGAAAGAATAACACGCAGTATTACATTTGTAATTTCTTCCCCAACATATTTTCAGCTCGGGTGAAAGCATGACGTCTGCCAGTGTCAATATCACAATATAATATAGGACTGAGTTTAACAGACACTTTATGCACCCCACTTTTAGAGTCAAGATATATCAGAAACAGGAATAATTTCCCAAGAAATCATCCTTGAAATCAGCTCTAATCTGACAGCTATTTTGTCCATGATGCCAAACAAACCATCCTAGCATAGAAGTGGTAATTGGGGGGAATTACCAATTGTCTTCCAGAGAATTTGGCTAGAGGTGTGGCTTGTTCTGCATGTCCAATATGATTTTGGGCTTCTGTTTCCTAAGCAGATGTCCACTGCCCCATCTCTATGCAACATGGCAAACTGTTTTTGAAACCAATGGGATTTCAACAGCAGCTTGTGGTATGGCAGCGGGGGGGGGGGGGGATGATTTTCAGTGGATTAAAAAATCTGCATAATCAAGGCTTTGGGGTCATGTAAAACGGCTGGGCTGGATGAATCCCAAACCGGAATTAGGATTGCCAGAAGAAATATCAACAACCTCAGAAATGCAGATGACACAACCTTGATGGCAGAAAATGAGGAGGAATTAAAGAACCTTTTAATGAGGGTGAAAGAGGAGAGCGCAAAATATGGTCTGAAGCTCAACATCAAAAAAACGAAGATCATGGCCACTGGTCCCATCACCTCCTGGCAAATAGAAGGGGAAGAAATGGAGGCAGTGAGAGATTTTACTTTCTTGGGCTCCAAGATCACTGCAGATGGTGACAGCAGTCACGAAATTAAAAGACCCCTGCTTGGGAGAAAAGCAATGACAAACCTAGACAGTATCTTAAAAAGCAGAGACATCACCTTGCCAACAAAGGTCTGTATAGTTAAAGCCATGGTTTTCCCAGTAGTGATGTATGGAAGTGAGAACTGGACCATAAAGAAGGCTGATCGCCAAATAATTGATGCTTTTGAATTATGGTGCTGGAGTCCCATGGACTGCAAGAAGATCAAACCTTTCCATTCTTAAGGAAATCAGCCCTGAGTGTTCACTGGAAGGACAGATCCTGAAGCTGAGGCTCCAATACTTTGGCCACCTCATGAGAAGAGAAGAGAAGAGAAGACTCCCTGGAAAAGACCCTGATTTTGGGAAAGATTGAGGGCAAAAGGAGAAGGGGACGACAGAGGAAGAGATGGTTGGACAGTGTTCTTGAAGCTACGAACATGAGTTTGACCAAACTGTGGGAGGCAGTGGAAGACAGGAGTGCCTGGCGTGCTCTGGTTCATGGGGTCATGAAAAGTCGGACACGACTAAACGACTAAACAACAACAACAACAAAACATCTCTTTGGGTTTATCAGTGACTCCTACTAAAGATGACGACATGAGACCTTCAGATTCAGAAGCTTAATACTTAATTCCACTTAATACTAAAAACAACAATCCAATTTAAATTATTTTAATCTTTTTTTAATATTCTTAGTTATTTAATAACATTATAATTACAGTATATTTATGTTAATTGCAGGCCTTGTGATTCATATTTCTTTATTTTCCCCTTAGTTCTCATTATACAGCATATTTCAAATTGATGCATCCTTTGTACATGTTATGTCGTGTATGCATGTTTATAATAGACCACTGAGGATGACTTGTGATTGAAATGAATTTGGTTTACTTCTAATTAATTTGATGTATTATATTTCCAAATGAGTATTCAAAAGTTATGCCTCTCTAATATGTTCATAGTCATGATACAAAGCTGCTGTGTCAAACTAGTTCATACTATCATGCTTCGCGGAATTTTAACGTTTAGACCCCAATTTGATTCAAGCTTTTTCTCTCCTCCCCCCCCCCCCAAGTCAGCTTGAGACATATTTCATCTACTTTAACACATTCATTAAAATGTAAGAACATAAGAAGAGTTGGTTGGATCAGGCCAATAGCTCATCTAGTCTAGCATCCTGTTCACAGTGGCTGAACGGTTGCCTGTGGGAATCTCTCAAGCAAGACTCAAGCACCAGAGCACTCTCCCCTCTTATGGTTTCCATCAACTGGTATTCAGAAGTACTCCAACTGTGGAGGCCGAGCATAAGCATTATGGTTAGTAGCCATGGATAGCCCTCACTTCCATGAACAAGTGACTTCATAGATGCCAGCAGCATCCTCCCAAAACTCAGAGATTTTTGTAGGTACCAGCAGCAGACAGTGAGGCAATGCAGATGAGGCTCCATTGCTCTCCAAGCTTCCCGACATGATCTCTGCTGCTTACTGAGAGTGGAGGGGTGAGGCATGTGGGGACTGTGGTATGGTGGAGCCAATCCAATGCTCCTGCTGATGTGCACCACCACACTGTGCCCAGCTTCCTGTGCCTTGCCCCTCCGCACCCCTTCTCAATAAGCAGCAGCACCCCACCATGTTGGGAAGCCAGGAGAGCAACGGGCCTTACCTGTGCTGCCTTACTGGCTGCTCTTGGATGCCAGCGAAAGATATCAACGTTCTTTTGGACCCACAGGCACATGATGGCAGCCCCTGGATATTCCTATGGGTGGGTGCCATCTTTGAGTCTTAGGCAGCCATTGAGTTGGAGCCAGGAAGCAGGAGTCGGGGATCAAAATAACAGGGTGGTGTAGGGGGTAGGGATGAAGCCAGGAATCAGAGCTGGGAGTCTGAGGGTAGAGAGCAAGCCAAGGCAGGGGAGACTTATCACTGCCCAAGTAAAATCCCATCCTGAACAAAAAGCCTTTGTAACTCTTCCTGCTGTGGTGGGCCAATGACTAAGTAGGGTTGGTGAAATCGCAGTACCTGAAAATCCTTTACTGGCTAGGGAGATGTTCCCTGGTGACTCAACACACAGGATACCTGTGGTGGGAAGAACAATGCGGTCCGAGTTCTAACCCTGTTAGCTCCTGATAGTAAGTTCTGGGTCTTTCCCTTGATGCATCTTGAATCTTATATGCTTTCTATCCACAAGTCACACATCATTTCCTATTGGCTTCATGCCAAGTTACACTTTCAAAGGAAAAACCCTATGTCTCATTGAAATCTATGCTTCATTGAAATACATGTTTCCATTAAGTAGCAGTTTGGTCTTAGCTTCTACAAGTATTCTTCCATCTCCATCTTAAGTTTCCTTTCTGGACATGCAGCCTCAGGTAATGAATCAGTGCATACCTGTCATACAAACAGCAATGCATGCCCTTTAGGCTAAAACACTCTTCTTCATTTAATTAAAATGATTACATTTGTATTAATTAAAAAAAACAAACTACTCTAGGCTTGTCATTCTTCCCTTTCTACGACATCACCATTCTCTGCGCCACATTTTATTTTTATTTTTTCCCCAAAAGAAAATGTTTGAATGACTGGTAGCCAACAAAAAGCAAGACTATGCAAAAAGAAAGAAGAAAGAAACAATCAGTGCAAAAGTCAATGGACTATTCTCAGGGAAACACCTAAATAACAGGTTTTACTAGAAAAGAAAGAAATGCACAAAGATGGATAAAATAGAGCAAAACATCTGTCTGCTTCTAATCTAACTGTACTCATGCACAAATACAACCCCCCCCCCATATTTCATAATCAGAGTGCAACTAAAAGGCTCTTCCACTGACAAAATATCTCCTTTCTCACTTCCCACAACAATTATTTCAATACAAGGACCTAGAGATGTACAGTTTTGCTCACCATCTCCACACCCACCTACTTCTGATGTGGGTCCCCCATCTCCCCCTTGTACACCCAATACAACAACTGGGGAGAGGGAAGAGAATTTAAATCAACTTTTAGCAGTGAGTCAGACCATGCTTTCTTTTCACACATTCCTCCCTTAAATCTGTCCAGAGAAAGGAGGAAGGATCAAGGATAAACTTGGGAAAAGAAATGAGAAAAGTCAGTACAGCCCTGCTGGCTTCTCCTTTTGTTATCTGGAATGGCATTCATTTCAATCAATATCAGAAGCAGCTTCAGCATAAGGGAACTGGGTCTCTTGCCTAATCTATTACTGCTCTTAAAGGTATGGAAACATGCCCATGGCTTCTGTGACTCTGCTTGTGATTTTTTAAAAGGGATTTTCCATTAAAATTCCAGCTCATGTTTCCCCACCCATGCAAAATGAGATCTCATTCCAAACTTGGAGACAGGGGAGAGAGGAGGCAGGTACAGTCCTGTTCTTACCAGGTATGTGCCACTGTGAACCGCCGCTGTTTCGGTATGTTGCTGCTCAGAAGCATCCTGCGCAAGAGCCTTGGAGAATTTCGAGGGGAGATGACGGGCGACAGCTTAGGAGAAATAGACGAAGACTTCCTGGATGTCTTGAGCTTCTCATGCTGCAACAGGTTTTCCCTCAGGGTCTTCACAAGATCCTCGTTGAGCCATGGATTTTGACAATGTGGATTATCCACTTCAGGTACGGTCAAGGTGTCTGGGCTTGTTTGCTGAGCCATGTTTCCAAAGCAACTGATATTTGCGAAGTCTCTCTACAATGCAACGTGATATTTGTTTTGGCTGCTCTGGAGTTGTTGCTTTTTTAAAAGAGAGAGAGAGAGAGAGAAGTATTTCCTCCTGCTAATTTTGTTCTGGGGAACCATACAGAGCTTCGACTCCAATCCAGCCTATTCAGATTTCGGCATGCTTCTGCCTACGCTCAGAGCGTCTCTGTCCAGATAACGAAGTGCAAAGGGAGAAAGCAGGCTAACTCTTCCGCCGAAGCTGGTAGGCATTGCCACTCCTCTGACAGTCCACTCTGGCAGACTCCGCTCACTCCTGCCGGCTCTGCTTGCAAGTGAACACAGAGAGGAAGGCAGAGCGTGGAGCGACAGCTCCTGTGCCAGAGCAATGAGGCTGCCTGTCAAACTGCTGGAACTAATGCACTGCAGCTGCTAGAGTGACTCCTGATTATGTACACAGAAAGGGCCGGGAGGAGGGCTTAAACATTGGCACGCTGGTTATGTTTGGCTATCATTTCCATCTGTTTATTGCTCATTCTGAAGGGAGGGGCTGGGGATGTCAAGGGTGCACTTCCGTCCCACCCTCCTCCCCACAGTACCTGAGCTTTGGTTAGATTTTTTGGGCCAGGGGGTTAGCTACTGCATTTTGCTGGTTGTTTCAGCTCTTCTTGTTTTCAGCTCCTGTGATTTATATGGCATTGCAGCTTGGGTTAATGACTGGGGATTATGCTGCGCTGGATAGAACATGTTTGGGGGGGATTGTACATTTTTTTATTAGAGTGCTGTATCTTGGCATTTCATGTTTTAAAGCTATTGCATGATGGCGTGTATTAAGTGTAATAAAGAAACAAAAAATAGTAAATAAATAATAAATAAGCAAATGCATCCACATACCCCAACTTTCCCAAAGGCGAACAAATATTTGATTAGAAAAAAATACAAGATGAAATATAATGCTTTTAATTGTCCAAGTGAGCGTGTGTGTATCTCTATAGATATTTAAACAAAACATCAGACTGTATCGTACATGTACAAAGAACAGTTATAATAGGGATGCTTCCTTTATTATTATTATCTTAAAGTCTTAAATTTGTGAAAACAAGACATATGGTTGCGTCTCATCTTGAAAGTGTAGATTCCCATACAGTAATTCACAAACTTCGCCATTCTATAAATCTGTCTGATTGTGCCACTCTTTTCTTCTCTCCTAATATCGAGCTTGACGTTCCAGATGAATTGCATAATATTATTTTGTAATTTGTCCATTACGACACTTCCATGTTCTAATGGAATATTTAAAAATAAGAATAATATTTTTGGTAACCGGTTCAATTATACTACTGTGATTTTGTCAAACCATAATAATGGTAATGCGGCTTGCCTTTCCAGATCCTTTTGACCCTTTTGGTCCACTCTACTGTGATCATCTTTAGGCATTGTTGAGTTGAACAAATAATTCTTAACCCTAATGATACCTGGCTTTTTTTCCTAACCAACTAGCACCACTAGTTGGTGGCTGTAGATTACTGTCAGTGGGAGAGGTGGAATGCCTTTGGCCCCCAGTTGCTGGGGATCACAAGTGAAGAGAGTGCTATTGTTCTCATGTTCTGCTTGTGGCCTTCCCAAAGTCATCTGGTAGGCTATTCTGAGAACAGGATGTGGGACTAGATGACCCATTAGTCTGAACCAGAATTTGTTCTTATTAGCTCAACATCCCAGATTAATTTACCTTACTAGGTAAAGGTAAAGGTACTCCTGACCGTTAGGTTCAGTTGTGGACAACTCTGGGGTTGCGGTGCTCATCTTGCTCTATAGGCCAAGGGAGCTGGCGTTTGTCCGCAGACAGCTTCCGGGTCATGTGGCCAGCATGACTAAGCCGCTTCTGGTGAACCAGAGCAGCGCACGGAAACACCGTTTACCTTCCCGCCAGAGCGGTACCTATTTATCTACTTGCACTTTGACGTGCTTTTGAACTGCTAGGTTGGCAGGAGCTGGGACCGAACAACAGGCGCTCACCCCGTCGCAGGGATTCGAACAGCCAACCTTCTGATTGGCAAGTCCTAGGCTCTGTGGTTTAGACCACAGCGCCACCCGCGTCCCTACTACTCCAAGTTTAATCAAAGTGCACTTTTGACTTTGCCACAAAGAAGTCAAATCAGCCCTCTCAAGAGATGGGTTATTGGGGTGTCATCAAGGACAGCAGGGTTGGGAAACTGCTTGGGATCATTTCCAGTTGCTTCATTTAAAAGAACGATATCGCAGAACTGAAAAGGGGGGGCAGGAATCTGAAGCACCCGACAACAGTAGGGGACAACTACTGCCTTCAAACTCTGGGATGCCTAGGACTGGACACTTGAGGATTCTGAAACAAGGCGGACCCGCCACCTGATTTAGCAAGACTCTTCTTGCGCTCTTATCTGACTCATGGGGGGCGGGAATCTACTGGGAAGCTTTCTTGAACAATCAATATAAAAGAACAACAGGTTTTCCACCTCAAGCACCAGAATATATTGAGTCAGCCTCCTGAAGACAGAAAAGAAAAAAAGGAGAAACTCTTGCTGTGCCTCAGAAGCCCAACATAAAAGCCAGGATGTGGTGTACAACCCATCTAATTAGATATCGCTAATTCCCAAGCTGGTGGCTTCCCGTTACCATTAACTATTTCTTAAATGTTACAATTATTGTTTTAGAATGGCTCAGAGTAATTAAGTTAATGTAATCACCATGTCTCTTCCTCTTTAAGATCTCATTTTGAACAAGAGATCCATCTTTGCTCAAAGCTTTTATATAAAGGGCACGCTTCAGCTGCTTTTGGCTATTTTTGATGGATGGGTATATTTTTCAGCAAGAAGTTTGAATGAAATTTCAGGGCTTCATTTCTCAGAACTGCACCCAGTGCTGCCTAGCTACACAGGAAAGGGAAAAGCTTTTATAAACACCATTACTTTTCTGCTTTGGATGTCAGTGAAGGTAACCATGAGCTAACAACTCTTCAACCTCAGCATGTACAGCATTTTCTTTTTACATTAATGTAAAGTGCTGTTTATCATTAGCAATAAGAGCAGCAGCAGCAGTAGTGGTATTTATATAGTACTTTTCATTTATGAAAGAGGTGCATTTATCATTTTCAAAAGTTGTAGAGGGGATCAGATTACAGATTCTACTGAAACTTGACCTTTAGTTCTCCCAAACTATTATTTACTAGAGGATATTTATTTAATGTACGATTAACTTTACTACTACTACTACTACTGCTATGGATCCAGACTTTTCTGGACTATATGTGCTGAACCAGATAGTTACTTCAAAGTGACTATTCTGTGCATGTCAATTGAGAGTATTGATTTCAGTGAGACTTTCTCCTAAGTAAGTGTGTAAAGGACTGCAGTCTCCCTCATGTCAGTATCAAATTCATGCATAAACTATTTTGTAATAAGAACCAAATTCCAGATGCCATTTTGTTTCTTGTAACTGGATATAATAGTTTAGTATTAAAATTGTATGAAAATGATGCAGACAATTCCAATCATAACAAGTATTGCAAAAAATGCAAAAAAAAGTGTTATTTATTGTACCAAAGTACTTAAAGAACATGGATATCTATTGCCTTGAAAATTGACATTTGATCAATAAAATTTAAATCTCAACAAATTACCAGTTGCTGCTGCTGCTGCTGCTTTCATTATTATTATTTTACAGTAAATCCATCTTGTTTCTTGTTGAGGCTATGATTTCTCAAGTGGTTTGGTTGGAAGCAACTCACTAGTAAGGCTTGTATTGTGGGTTGCCAAGTCAGTGTCAAGCAAGTAATGTTGCCAAGGCAACAGAAAAGGCCAGGGCCAGGCCAGTATAGTTTGCTTCCTGAGGTGGAGGACAAGAAGGTGCATCTTTTTCTCCAAGAGAGGGGAATGGCTGGGGGAGCTTCTCCTGCTGTCTCCCTCTTTCAGCATCTGCCACCTGAGGCAATCATCTCACTTTGCCTAATGATAGGACCAGTCCCAGAAAAGGCTTCCAATCTGATTCTGTGAACTACATGAGCTTAGCAACTCCCACAGGATCAGGGAGTGTTGTCCAGACACGTGTCCTATCATTGGATCCCATGACTGCCTCTGGTGGTGAAAATGCAGATGGGAATGAGGCCTCCTTTCACCCCCTCATAAAGCATAGCCTTTTCAGCTGAACTGCAGGTGATGGCGTCTGCCAGGCATTGCAACCTACTTCAATTCCCGAGGTCAGCTGCTGTTTACATCACCATAGGTAGTGCCGCTAGCCTAAGGAATGATCTGGTCTTCAACTTGCTACTAGGTCTTAAACATTCTATCATACCAGCAGCAGCATCCATCCATCCATCCATCCATCCATCCATCCATCCATACGCAGCAACATACAAGCCACCAAACCATCAACTTGCATGTTGTGGGGGCATGTTTAAAGAGCTCCTTTCCTAGAAAGAGGAAATTAGTAGCAGAAGAAGTTTAGCAAGGAAATAATAATAATAATAATAATAATTATTATTATTATTATACTACACTGGGAGGTTCCAGTATAAATAAATATTGAAATAATATGTCTTCATTGGGGTGAGAAGAATATATATTTCTGAACAGAGAAAGACGTGTCCTAGCCAATTTTGGTTGGAGGTTCCTTCATTAGCACTCATCTACTTGCCAGAAAAAGCAAAGTTGAAAAAGAAGAAAATGTCCTTTGTTTGAATTTTAATTGCAAACATCCTCTTGGTATTTATTAAAAATCATCGCTGGTGTATTTAAAAGCCTGACAATGTTATAACACAGCCATGGAAAGTATATATATATTTTGCTATATTAGCCAATTGTATATGACAGCACCATTAATCATTAGTGGCCTATCATCACAAATCTGAAGAACTGTAAAGTCTGTCGAACACATAAGCCTTATCTACTTATTTATGTCAATGCTGAAAATTTTATAACATACCATTAAACTCCCAAGTTAAATTCACTCAGATAGCAATTGAGACGAGAGCAGGCTTCTGCCAGGACAAAGGGTTATGGATCTAAGCTGTGTCCACCCTAAGAGGAAGTGAAAGTTTAACTTGAATTTCAAGTAGTTCTTCTAGCATTGCACAATGAGCAATCGACAATTTAAACACAGAATGTTTACCTTAGGCTCTGAAAAAAATCCTTGCAATGTGATTTGCGTAGGCAACTTTCCCCCCCTGGCCTTTACAAGCCAAACATGCCTTGCAGTGAAAATAATATTCATTCATTGCACCCTGGGCTTTGTGTAGCTTTCGCCCTTTTTTCTTCTAAGGGCATAAAGAGACAGATGCAAATGACTGCTGTTCCCCTGAAAAAGCAAACATGGCTAAGTCATCAGCAGTGGCTCTGCTCAGTTGCTACAAAACAAACGCTTTCCTGGCTATTAGCACAGTATGTGGCTTTTTTACTGCTGCATCTCGAGATCCACATGCCCTACCCTAAAAGCTCAGCGCACACAGACATTTTTTCATTCCAGCTTCTTTATGCCAACCATTTCCATTCCATATACGTGCTCACATGCAGAAAGCACCATGTAGGCTGCAAGGGGGTGGAACACACAGCTGTGGGGTTCTCTACCATGTTAGCAGCACCAGTTAAATGTGACCTTGATGGGAAAAATCACCGCAAAATGTTGCTTCACACAGTGCATAGTAAACTATGGAATTTGGCCCCACAAGAGGTCATGATGGCCTAAAAGGAGGATTAGACAAATTCCTTCCTATGTTCTCCCTCCACTGTCACTGGAAGTATCCCCATGAATACCAGCTGCTGAGAGTGTGAGTCACTTGAGAGTAAGGAAGAAAACTTTATTCAAGCCAATAATGGTATTGGCTCATAGCAAGAACTAGGAACAAAAGTCAGGATTCCAAGGGTCATGAGCCAGGCAAACGATGTAGAACTGAATGGAAGCAATGAAGACGTCCCAATAGCTGCCATACCCCTCTCTCTAAGCTATTAGAGACTAGGCAACTAGGCAGAGTGAACTTATTCATGAGACTCACTTTATGAGACCGCTGCACATTTACACATGTGTTATGGAGGTGGTGTCTAGATCTCAACAACAAGATCATGTCCTTCCCCTCTGACTCTAGCTCTTCTTCCTGCAGCAAGGGCTGTCAGAATTAGGCTGAAGGAACAGCCAGGTTGGAACTTATCCTGCACAAAAATTTTAATACCCTCTTATCCAGCCTTTCATTTACTTATAAAAGCCATTGCCACATTCAAATGCCAGCTGACCATCTTGGGCTCTTAGATGACTCACATGATCCACTTTTTGGTCATCTGCCACTTGGCTTCTTCAAACAATGGCATAAACTCATCATAAAGAGAGTGCCATGAATATGTGTGTGAACACATTGACTCACCCCTTCAACCCCACCTACCCATTTGCCCCACCAAAGAGACCTGAGTCTTCACTATTGGATCGGATTTCAGTTTCACACAGCTTCATTTTGTGGGCTCTGCCCTACAAACACAAACTGCTTTAACTCACTTATGACTGAACATACACCAAAATATCCACAGCATAGTTCGATTAACAAAACAATACAAAAAACAACGCCTCTTCCCCCATTCTTTTATATGTAGTTTAGTTAGCGAATATAAGATGGATCCTAGCTAAGTTAGTTAACTTAATTCCTACTGAAATCACTGAATTAATTTAAGGTATGATTAACTTCTACCATCAATTTCAATGTGATCTCGGTTTCTATAGTTTATTTAATTGTTACATTTATATCCAAAGACCCAAATGGGACATATGTGGTTTTCTCTGCTCCCCATTTTATCCTCACAACAACTCTGTATTGTAGGCTAGGCTGAGAGTGGTCCACAGTCACTGAGCAACCTTCATGGCAGTGTAGGGGTTCTGGCCTCCCAGGTCCCAGTCCAACACTCTAATCACCACACCAGTCCGGATGCAACTGCAGCACTTGTTGTGGGAACCACAGACATTGTTCAGCATGTTGAAGAGAAGATTGGAAGCACACCCTCCTTTCCAGCATAATAGCTTTGTGAATACAGCAAGGTTTTGAAATGGATTAAACATTCAGACACATAATACACTGTATGTTACTGAGGCCTGCTTCCTGATTATTCTAACTAATGTGCCAGAATGCAACAAGGCATTGCAAAGGCATTTAATCCTGTACTGGATTATAGCTTTATTATGTGTATTTGTTTAATCCTGTGAGCAGGAGTCCCCGGAACTGGGTAAGGCCACAAACCAGTCAATCAATCAGCTGATCAATGTTTCAGGCAGGCAGGTTGTTACAAAGGACTGGAATGCCAGCTAGTATATTTATGCTGGTCAAAGTAATTTGCTGATTGCTAGCACCACGTCATGCACCATAAAAACTCATGAACATATTTACATAGAACGCTTGCATTCGGGAAATGTTTGAAATATATTTATTTAATCAAATCAATGCTCACCAGAATAGTACTTATAATTTATATAGTGTTTACCACTGTTCAAAGTACTTCTCATATTTACAGGGCGTTCGTTGGAGGTGGCCTAATGTCCTGTCTATTGAGACCCAGATCTCCTGTGCCTCCCCTACTTATTTTTTATTTTTTAATGCTTTGGAGACAGCTAGGGATGCTAAAAAGTACAGTACCAGTGTGACCCCAGCCTAGGGATTCAGTTATTCAATTATGGTATTTAATAACTTCAATAATTCACAAACCAAGATACATACTGAAGCACAGATATCCTTTGAAGTTTCTACTTCTCTGAATTTTGCAGTACACCTCTCTAACCAAATAATGTGTACCAAAAATGCATTTATTAGGGGAAGTGTGTGTGAAAAAATGCATTGATTGGTGAAAATTACCTCCAAAATGCATTATATTAGTGGAAATTGCTTGCAAAAATGCACATATTAGTTAAAACTGCGCCAGGAAATGTGCTTATTATGATAAATTAGCATTGGATGCTGACAAATTTTCAAGAGGAAATTTGTGAATTGCTGTGGAAATGTGGAGAACCGAATTTATGATTGGAAAAATAGGAAAAAGACAGAATCTGAAATTGACAGATTTCTCAATCCCTTCTCCAGCCAACCACAATCCTAATTTGCCCATCGGCTCCCCGTACATTTATGCAGATTGGTGCTATTGGTTTGTGCTTTAAGAATCTAGCAACAGCCTTGCATGTTGTCCCCATTGCAGCATGGAAATTTGAGGCCAAGGAAGAATAGCTTTTAGAGGCGCAGCAGTGATCTCATTGGCAGAGGCGGATTTAGAATCAGCAACTTCCTGGTTCCTAGTCTTATCCTACACTGGTTCTCCAATCAAATTGTTTTAATTATTTGCAGACCTAGCTAGAGTTTTAAATCAGATGTTTATCAGTCATTTTCATGGACAATTCTATTTTTAGACTTAACATTTAAAATTTGCTCTGTGGAAAGTGTATTAGCATGAAGGTCCCATTTTTCTCGGGCGCAGCTATGCAGCTCTGGTTTCAATTTTTTTTAAAAGGACCTAAAGATCCTACTGTGTCATATGTATATTTGGCATTTATGGAACATAAATAGGCCTCAATTTCCAGAGGACAGCTTAGAGATACAGTATTTCCAGCAGGAAGGCAACTTCCTTTAAATTCTAAGTGGGAGAGAGGGGAAATTAGGCTACGAATATTAATGAGTATTTTTTAAAAAGGAGTTATTGAAGGAAGAAGAGTTATAAAGCACATTTAGCAATGCATTATTCCTCCCTTCCAACTGTGTTTGAATATAAAACTATGCCAACTGATTGAGAGGTGGGTGTCCAAAGATGTATCTGAAAGGAATAATCTACTTAACTAAGCAATTCTGTTTTGTAGATGTGAATGATGCTTGTGTATTTGACTTGGTTTCAGAAATCTCCTCATTATAGCTCCAGTGGCAATCTGACACTGAACTTCAGGGTAGACAAAAGTAAATACTTATTCGTCATTAAATTACTGAATTCACAAACACAAGATGTGGCTATGGATGACCATCACCTTGGATGACTTTAAGAGGTGATTAGGCAATTTCATGGAAAACAAATGGCAGGAAAGGCTATCAACAGCTACTAAGTCATGATGACCATGTATACCTCCAATATCAGTTGCTGGGGAACACAAATGCGAGAGTGCTGTTGCACACGATGTCCTCCTTGGGGGCTTTCCAATGGCATCTATTTGGCCAGTGTGAGTCCAGCATGTTGGGTTAGCTAGAAAGGCCTTTGATCTAACTTCCTGTATTTTCTCTTTAACATAAAGGCACTTCTAGCCAATTACTGCCCAAGACTTCATCATGACCACTCCCACCCCCAGTAGCATCTCAAAAATCTGTTTCTGGGTGCAACATAAATTGAAGGCCTTGTCAGATAGCAGGCGAAAGGAGAAACTAGATATTGGGGTAAGCTATGTTTCTGTCTGCCCAAGTCACATATAAAGCAGGAGTGGAGCTGCAGGTGGATGTGCGGATGGGTGCCCAATCTTTAAATGAAAAAAATATATAGGGGAGTGGGGAATGAAACACACCTCCTCCCTGCCATAGCTTGTTGTACTTCGTTGCTTTGTGCAGTTTGCTTCTGGCTGGCTCTAGGGCTGAATGTGAGCCAGCCTACAGTGTGCTTTTGTGTGTACAGTGGTACCTCAGGTTACATACGCTTCAGGTTACAGACTCCGATATCCCAGAAATAGTACCTCGGGTTAAGAACTTTGCTTCAGGATGAGAACAGAAATTGTGCTCCGGCGGTGCGGCAGCAGCAGGAGGCCCCATTAGCTAAAGTGTTAAGAACACTTCAGGTTAAGAACAGTTTCAGGTTAAGAACAGACTTCCGTAACGAATTAAGTACTTAACCCGAGGTACCACTGTACTGCCTAAACAAATTGAGTGCTTGTGAGTTAAGGCAGAGGAGGGGTTTTGTGCATCTCCCCTGTGCAATCCTATTCATGTGACAAAATGACCACCCCATAAAACATATATGTTGTTGCCCTGTCATGTCTAATCATTATTTTCAAATTTCATCTCCACACTAGGTGGAGATGTCCACAGACTGGGTGGGAGCCCAAGGTTTGCAGGTGTACAAATATCTACCAGTCTATCTACCTCATCGGCCTTTACCATACTGGTCCCCTCCAAATATTTTGGGCTACAACTCCCATCAGCCATAGCCAGCCCAGCAAATACACACACTCTCCCCCCAAAACACAGTCCAATAAAGTCTGAGCATGCTCAGTGGCTACAGAATGCTGATTGGCTATTGAGGGAAACAGAGAATGTGGATGGGATGGAGGGCACAGCTGGCTTGTTGGAACCCTGAGCAGCAGCACTCAAAATGCTGCAGGTCTCCCCTATATAACACAAGAGGCACCCCACAGCGTTTCAGTAAATTACGACAGTAGCAATGCCTCAGAGACGAACCACCATACAGAGTCTGTTGTTGATCTTGTAGTTGTGCTCCACGAAGCCTAAGCTGGGATCAGAAGAAGCCTAACTGTCCAATGGGAAACAGCGCTAAAGTGACATTGCACTTGGCCCTTGAGTTTTGGGAGAGGATTCAAAAGGCCATTACGTAATCATTTCCCTGAGGGCAGGGAAGAGAAAACAAGACACGCGCAGAGAGAGAAAGCTACCCAATGACTCAGTTACCTGGGCTTGTCATTGGACCACACGTGGCAAGGCGAAAGCAGCAGCATGGAAAGGGAGCTACAAAAGCCCAGCTTCCTGAGCTTCAAGGCTAGGAGAAGACAGTGACCCCAAGTCATGCTCTGCATGCCATTTATTTCAGAGGCATACGGAGCTGGCACTGTTGTTGAAAGGCAATTTTCACAAGCCAACTAAAATAAGAGAGCCATCTCCTCGTTCCCAAACACAGGATGATTCATCGCTGAGCTCCGAATGGACAAGCACACAGAGCAGCCATGGAAATAATGCACTTCCCTGGGCAACGGAAGAGAAGCCTGCCTCTTCATGTCACTGAAGCGGGTAACTGCACTCACAGGTCTGTGCAAAGCACAGTGTGCGTTTCCCCCCAGCTACAAGAAAGTCACGACTTAAAGGAGAGCACCATGGTGAGTGGGAAAAGCTGTAGCTGTTGTCAACACAAGAAGAGCCCTTCTGGATCAAACCAAATGCCTCTCATAGCTGCCTTGACCTAGCCTGGGGGCATTGAAGGAGAGGAGGATAAAAAATGGAGGGTGGGGGAGAAACAGATGGAGCAATGGAAGGGGGGGAGCCCTCTGTGAGCCATCAGTTCAACCATATAGCAAGATACAACCTGTCTCTCTCCTGGCAAAGAGAGGGTGCTCCCCTGTGGGCTGCTCATTGTGAAATGGGTGCTTCTCATACACCTGGCAATCATCTTGGCAGGTGTTGTACCTGAAGAAGGGCCCTGAGGAAGGGTAATAGCTCTGATATACAGAAAACCCCAGGTTTGATCCCTGACATCTGGAGGTATGAAATCCCGGAGAACTGATGCTTTTCTGTGACCAATGGGCCACTTCAGTACAAGACACCTTCCTATGTTCTTCCATAAGGCTCCTCTTATGCGAACCTGCCTGTTATTCTAGGAATTTCTCGCCCAGAGGTCAGGCATGTGATAACTGCAGGCAGGATTTCTGTAGAAGTGGTGCCCAGACTTCAGAATGCTCCCCCAGGGTGGCTCAGACTGGGTTTGTTTTCTTTCTGGCGCCAGGCAAACCCCTTTTTTTATTTACCCAGGCTTTTCTGATTTGGTTTTAATACAGCTTTATTGCTAAATGATTATCTGCTCTGCTTTTATTGTTTTATTGACCTTATCATCATGATTGATTCTCCTGATTTTATATAAGCTGTTCCGGGAGCCTTACTGATGGAAAAGCATGGTGAAAAAATGCCTTTAGAAATCTGCAACGTCCATATTCCACATTCACAGAGATTCCAGATGTGTTTTCACAGTATGGCTTGTATTGAGCTGGCATCACCTGGAACATGAGCCAACAGGCACCGCATTCTGGAAACATGCTAAAGGATTACTGCTGTTTGGGACTGGACTTGCATCATCTCTGCAAGCCGGACACGAGACTATAAGCCTCCCCATGGAGTGAGGTTCCTGCTGCCTGCTACTCCCTACTTGCTGTGGCAAACAGATATCCAGGTTACGCATCAAGTGAAGGTGGGGGCCGTGACAGAACTGGGGAGGAATCAAGTGAGAGCAACCATAGCAGCTTTATCTCCTGCTGCACTGGAAAATTTTAAAAGGTAGGCATCTGGGAAATACTTTCAGCCATAGAAGCCTTATGGACCCTCCAGGCATAATTTTTATTATGCATTTGTGATGATATTGGGATAATCATAACTCTCATTTATATCCCTCCGTTTTTCCAAGAAGCTCAAGATGACACAAATGGTTCTCTTTGTCCCCATTTTATCTTCACAACATCCCTGTGAGGTGGGTTAGGCTGAGAGGCTGTGACTGGCCCAAGGCCACCCAGTGAGCTGAGCAGGGATTCGAACCCAGGCCCTGGTCCAACATATCAACTACTATACCACCTTGTGATCCTGCTTTCAACACTATTTGAGCCTATGGAAGTTTTGGGGCTGCCATGACTTCATTTCCGATCAGGGCACATCCTGGAATTTCCCATAGCCCCTCCAGACAGCAACAATGTCTTAGCATTGGGGAAGCATTGCAGGACAAACTAGTAAAGCAGAATAAGCCTGCCACAGAAACACTATAATTGTGTCAAGTACATGTTGTTGAGCACAGCCTCAATAAAACACCAACCTGACATTTGCAGAAGAGGGAGAAAACTCAGGGAATGCTCAGGGGAAACATTTCTAGAACACCTTACAGCACGTAGGGGCCAGAATAATGATAATAATCACCTTGTTCCAAAGGTTAGGGAGGTTCCATATCTATAAATAAACAGAAATAATGCATAAGAGTAACTCATTGCAGGACTACTACGGAACTGCAGGCACAGATCTAGATGGTTTTACACAGCTGCATGCAACTTTAAAGGACTGAAAAGCAAAAAAAAACAAAACTGTCACACATCCATCTGCAATAGGTGAGAAAAGCTAGTAATTGAAACTTTGGCAAAGTAAATTGCCACATGCATTTGTTGGTAATGCAAGGTGGAATACTCCCTCTAGCGGTCAACTAGGGGGGGAAATGAAACTTTAATGCAGCAAATTTCCTGCTCCATTTCCTGCTCCAAAGAGAAATTGCTTGGAGAAGGAGGGTCTGTCTCTAGAAACACAGGGCTGTACGAGGTGAAATCAAGATGATAAGCTGCAAAAATCCCATTAAGACAGAAATTATAGAACCCATAGATCATACATGGTGGTGATAGGAAGAAAACTGGGTGAGATGATAATGGCCTCATAATAACAACTCACTTGGGGTCCAAGGATTCTTTGGACATCTGTTTCTTGAGCAGGTGGTCTCAGCCCCACTACTAGACGAAAAAAGCATCCTGCTGGGAGAGATCAAGCTCCCGGTCTAACTGATCCTGCATTTCTGGTCTCAGCTCTAAACTTTTAGTCTAATATACACATTAGTGGCTTAAAACACAGTGAGGTTGTTTCCCCCACTGATTTCAGTCGGTTAGCTTTTCCATTAGCACAATAAGGATGTATTGCATGCACACACAAATACCCCAAACTCCTATTCCTGAAGCTGATGTGGAATCATAGAATTGTAGAGTTGGGTTGTACATAACCTGAGGGTCATCTAGTCCAACCACCTGAATTGCAGGAATCTCAACAAAAGCACCTACGACAGATGGCCATCCAAACTGTTCGACTGTCACACTGCACATAATGTCAGAAAGTTCTTCCTGACATGCCTTCTAGAAAGCTGAGGCAGGCAAGGGCCCACAGCCCAGCTCCCTAGCTGGCCAGGTGGGGCTTGCTAGCTCTGGGAGAGGGTGTGTGATTCCTCGGCTGGAGTAGGCTTGGAACAGGTGAGGGTCACATGCCTCATCAAGCCCAGATGCTGCAGTCAGCATGCAAAGTACAAAACAGAAGCAAAGCTGAGGTGCTGTGTCTGCTCAACTGCCCATGTTGCAGGACCTTGACTTGGATGCTCCTGGACCTCTATGGGACTGTACTTTGGGTTTGGATCCTGACTGCTGGACTTCAGACTTGGCTATTTGGATTGACCCTGGATTGCATTTCCTGACCTTTAGACTTTGGATTTTGAACTGTGGACTTGTGTGGATTGACCTCAGACTTTGAACTTGGCACACTGACTTGCTGCCAGGTAGGCCAGGGGTCCAGGACAGCTTTTGTCCAAGTTGCTCAGCAAGGCATACATGGCTTCTCTCCCCCCCCCCCTCCATACACTGTGATTCTCCATTCAGTTCTTGCAATAACCGTTTGGCCTGGGTCAGGCTGAGAGTCCAAAGTTAACTAGTGAGCTTCATAACCAACCAGCTCTCCTTGTTCCAAGTTGGACCCTTCCAGCTCCACCATACTGGCTCTCATGCATATCTCTTGCAGGCAGATGGCACATGAACAATATTTTGACAAGGGAACCTACACATCTTAACCTCCTAAAAAAAGACGGAAGGCTTGGCATATTTCCCATGGCTTACATAACCTTCTCCCAAACCTCATTTTCGACAAACTCAGGATTCACCCATGCAACAGCAGAGGACCAGGTACGCTGCAACAGGCATTTGAACTGGGATTTCCCTTCTCTTCATAGTAGCTGGAGATCAGCCATTGCAGCGTATACATTTTAGGGTAATTAAATAAAGCTGCAGTGAAGCACGGTAATGTGCTACTTGGCATTCTTCCAATCCACTGTCAGCCAAAAGGCCTAATCTTATGAAAGGCTGTGAGCTAGGAAACGTGTGGTCCAGATGGCAAGCAAGAAATACTGCACATGGAATATCCATGACCTGAAGCACCATGTAGGTAGCAGTGCAAGCCTACCTGAGATATTTGGTGGGCACAATAGAGTGGGTCAGTTTTGCTCTGGCAGGACCACCAGCCACTGCTATGTGCACTCTAGTCTTACCACCCCAAATGGCACTAATACATAATGTTTACATAGTAACATAAGAAGAGCCTGCGGGATCATGCCCATGGCCCCTCTAGTCCAGCATCCTGTTCTCACAGTGGCCAAAGAGATGCCTGTGGGAAACCAACAAGCAGAATTCAAGCACAAGAGCACTCTTCCGTCCTGTAGTTTCCAGAAACTGGGATTTGAAAGTATTAGTCATCATGGCTAGTTAATATAATAATAAAAATATGCAGCTATTTTTGAAATTATATTGCAGATTTTAGGGTGTAGGGGCCCCAGTCCATATCCACTGTCCTGGGCCCAGGAAATCCTGTTGATGTCCCTGGCTGTGACTTCCAAAAAAAGCAGAAAAAAGAGAGAGAACCATAAAATGATGGGGACATGCCCTCCATCAACCACTAACCACCCCATTGACAGGCAAAGCAGCATATCAGCCACCACTGGGCTCACGCACAGAGAGACGTACTTTGCATCTCAGAACAAAATGGAGGGTGGGCATGCAGTCCTGGCAGCCAATGAAAGTTGGGCATTTTTAAGGGTGTGTGTTCAATGCAGGAGACAAAGTCAGTGCAAAGAGTAACTGACCAGGTAGAGGGAAGCGTCTTGTGTACACTGTAGATGTTTGAGGTGGAAGTTTGGGTATTGGGTGAAGAACAAGCCTTGCTGAATCTCCACCACCTTACCTGCTTTGGCCCTTTGTTCTCTTGGTTGATGTCTGCACTGGTATCATGGACCCAGTATGTGACAGCACTGTTGTCTGAATCAGTGGCTGGGCCATTGCTTGGGACCAAGATAGAAAGCACAATTATTCTCCACCAGATGGAATATCTAGCAAATGTTACATTTGCTTTATATCTGTCACGATTTTGAACATCATTCTGCTTCTTCCAAAGGAAACAGGCAGTTGGGTAGAGGCAATGAAAGGGGGGAAAGTTCAGCAAACCATCAGTAATCTTATTTCACAATTGGGGAGAAATGCTACAGGGGAGACGCAACTGACTTATACACCCCTTGATGTCTGTGGAAGTGTTGGGACCCAAGACAAGAAGAGGAAAAGACAACTGAGCAGATATTGGGACACTCTGTCAAAGTAATAAACCACATGAAAACCAAAGCAGAAAGTAAGGGATTAATAGGTGATGAGAAGTACAAGACCAAGTATGGAGATTGAGATGAAATTAATAACAACAACAACAACAACAATAATAATAATAATAATAATACCCCGCCCATCTGGCTGGGTTTCCCAACAAAATATTAAAAACACGGTAAAACATCAAACATTAAAAACTTCCCTAAACAGGGCGCCTTCAGATGCCTTCTAAAAGTCAGATAGTTGTTTATTTCCTGATGGGAGGGCGTTCCACAGGGCGGGCACCACCACCAAGAAGGCCCTCTGCCTGGTTCTCTCTAACCTCACTTCTCGCAGTAAGGGAATCACCAGAAGGCCCTCGGTGCTGGACCTCAGTGTCCGGGCAGAACGATGGGGGTGGAGACGCTCCTTCAGGTATATTGCGCTGAGGCCGTTTAGGGCTTTAAAGGTCAGCACCAACACTTTGAAATGTGCTCAGAAACATACTGGGAGCCAAAACAAAAGTTTTTTGTGTAAATTCAGATTGAGGAGGGATTAATCAAATAATTAAATATACATTTATTTTAGAGCTGAAAATGGACTCCTTAATTCCTATGTTGTTGATTGTGCATTAAAGCAAAAACAAAAACATGAGGGTGGGTGTTTTCAACTTGCATCACATACCCCACCCCAAACCTTCACAAATCACCACTGCCTTTTAAAACAACGTTACTATGCTTATTATGTATTAGTGTCAGTCTTCTAGGAGGTTTGCTTTCAGAAAGGCAGGATACAACTATTTAAAACAATATAGTGAAATAGTGACAGATGAAACAACACCAGGTATTTTTAGAAAGTAATTGCTAGAATCCTAACACACAGCCTTTGCCTAGGGAAAAGAAATACATTCATAGCTGTATGTGAACAACTCCCAGCTTTGGCAATGAATGATATTGGAAAAGTAAATCAGTGAGTGATTGCTCTACATCAGGGATGTCCAACAGGTCTATCGCGATCTACTGGTAGTTCCCCGGGAGGTTTTTGTAGTTCGTGGTCAATCGCTGGGTCCTTTTCCTTAGCGTTGGTAAAACAGAATCCGGCCCCACCCCCTCGTCCCGCCCTTCATTGTATGATCTGCAGAGTGGAAGATGGAGATTACAGTACTCAGTGAGGCTATATGTTTCCCCAGCAATCTGTTGGTGAGTGGCTGTTCTCCTTTCTCCCTTGAGCTTAGGCTTGAATTCTCAAAAATCAGGGCTTTCTTCCTCCCTAAAGAAAGCTCAACAACTTTTCCCTGAACCCCCAAAAAGGGAGTAGATCCCTGCCAGTTTTTAATTCTGTGAGTAAATCGCAGTCTCTTGGGAGTTGGCCACCCCTGCTCTACATTATATTTCAGCAATGTAATATAAAACTAAAATGATTTGCAAGAGTTGTTTGTGCCTCCAAAAATTGCAATGGAGAGGACTGCATGGCGAGAGAAAAAGGAATTATGACATTTGGCAGCATTTATAAAGCTTTATAAATTTATAATGCTTTATACATTTATAAATGTAATGACATTTTAAAAGTCCCCTGAAAGCATTTCCTTTATTGTTCACAGTCACACCCCTGCTTGGGTTATTGCCCACCACTGAAACGCCAGGGTGTAAGCTTAATGTCTGCTGCTATGTAGAAGTCTTCAAATATGTTTCCAGTAAGGGATGCTGGAGAAGTCTGACAGGTGAGGAAGCAGAAACTGCTCCAGCCTGTGTGCTAACTTACACTAGATAGCAAGATGAACAATGTAGTGTTTGGTAGAAACCAAATTGCAGCAGAAGAGTAACAGTTATGATTGTCACAAATGCAGGTTGGAATGGAAATTGCTGCCTTCTTGCAACCCCAGTTCCAGTATCCTAGCAAGTTGAATGCTTGTTTCATTTGCATGTTCAAGATAATGTATATAAACAAGATTGAATCTGGGACACCTGGGTTCAGGTCCCACGGACACCATGAATTCACTGAGGGATAATAGTTTAGGGGAGTAGTTGGCTCTCAGTCTCAGGTCCCAATGAGCCAATTAGCACACAGTGCCAAGGCAAAGCATGGCTTAGGATGAATGTGTGAGCATGCAGCTTCCCAGAGAGGAGATCACAGCCACTTTGCTCCTCCCCCTGGCCTTGCAACTGCTGTGAACCAAGGCACGGTTTAGCTTAGTGTTCTGTTCAAATCCAGACTAGTGGTTTGCATTGCACCAAACCATAAGCTGTAGCCAAGGTTTATTCTCGGTTTACTTATCTCTCAGAGCAATGCATTCTCGCCAAGCCATGGCTTGGCTTAGCGTTATGTGCAAACTGAGCTTAAGTGTGAAATGGGGACATGAAAGGCCAACCTCATGGAGGTGATGACAAGACAAGATAAAAACTGGGTTCCCACCTGCAAGGCTAGAGAATGCACAGCCATAGCTCACAGTCTCACAGTTGAAGAGATAAGCCACTGTTGAGATTTAACATAAGCTTGCCTCTTAGGCGGTGGGAACTGCTGCTGACAAAGCACCACATGAGGCTCCATGCGTTTGTGTGCAAGGACTAAAAAGCACGTTGCTTCCTAAAAGCAATGTACAGTGGTACCTCGGGTTACAGATGCTTCAGGTTACATACACTTCAGGTTACAGACTCCGCTAACCCAGAAATAGTACCTCAGGTTAAGAACTTTGCTTCAGAATGAGAAAAGAAATCGCACGGCAGCAGCACGGCAGCAGCGGGAGGCCCCATTAGCTAAAGTGGTACCTCAGGTTAAGAACAGTTTCAGGTTAAGAACGGACCTCCAGAACGAATTAAGTTCTTAACCCGAGGTACCACTGTATGAACATAATTGTTTTCTTCCTAAAAGCACTGTAGAATACAAATGCTTTCTCCAGTCATTAAATTATTTTCACCATGATTTCTGTAATGGATTCTAGTATAAATATTTTGTAGGAAACTCATTACAAAATTTCTGTTTTAACAACATAAAAAAACACACACCCTGCCTAGTGCAGAATCCTGTTTCTCACAGTGGCCAAGCAGATGCCTCAGAGAAGCCCAGAAGCAGAAAACAAGGACAACAGGTCTCTTCCACTGTTGTTCTCTGGCAACAGGTATGCAAAGGCTCTGATTCTGGGAGCCCTGAGTGTGGGATGTTTACAAGGCAGTCAAACCAACAATCTGTGTTTGCTAGATAGGCGCACGATAGGAGCTGAAGCTCACAGAGTTTTCTTGTATGTTTGCTAGAGAGAACTCTGACAGCCACTCGCACTGTGCCCTGACAGAGGGAGGGCATAGCCATATATAATCTCCTCACCTGGCTGGGCATGTCCTCTTTGGCCTCTCTTCACTCGTGCTCTTCATCTCATCCCCAAGCCACAAATGAACCATCTGCTACTTCTGAGCATCAATGCTCCATCTTAAACTAGACTTAAGCATGTCTATGGAACTGAATTACCATTTTAAGCCTGCCTGAACAAAGCTGATATATCTGATAATCTGTGACAGAAGCTCTGAGTGAGTAAATGTTATTTTTACCTTTCGGAAGACTGTTTGTGTGATTATTATTTTAAGGGGGGGAGGGGGAAATACCTAGGGAAACCAGTCTGCCTTAAAGCATTCCCATGGTCTCTGACCTTCCCCATCCTGAAGAAAATGACTTCCCTTGTGATAAATCAGGGCACCTTTCCACCTGAAGCACTCTAACCATGGTGAAGCAGTTGCTGGAGGAACTACCGGGGTGGGGGTGGGGGAGGCAAACTCCCTTGCCAAAGTGATGGGTGAGAAATGCAATGCCACTTTCAATTTAAAGGTGAAAGCTCAGAGGCAAGAGGTGGCAGCAGTGGCTGCCCAGAGGAATCCCAAGCAGAGGGGAGGGTGTTTGAAAAAGGGTGAGAGGCTGCCAGCTCTGCAGGCAAGGGGTGACATAACTGGGCTCCTGAGCCCCACAAGGGTGCCGCAGAAAGATTGTTGTTGGTCAAGGGAGCCATTTTGAAAAGGTTGAAAACCTCTGGTCTAGGCTATGTTACTGCAATGCTCCCTATGTGGGGCTGCCTTTAAAGGCTGACACTGAATGCAGCTGACAGGATATGTGGCACCAGCTGTGTACCAGTTGCATTTATTTCTGTGCTCAGTTTAAGGTGCTTGTTTTGATATTTGAAGCTAGGAGCTGTTTGGGAAGAGGTTACTTGAAGGACAGCCTTCACCCACATCCACCTGTATGAATCAAGAGAATCTGGGAATCTCTCTCCTTGGAAATGCAGGTGGAGCTTTTCATTGATGACTCTTAAGTGGGTGTTAAAACGTTTTTGTCCCTGGCTCTTGTGATTTAATGGCTGGCAACGACTTCTATGAGCAGCTCCCATTCATGTAGTCAATACTGAGGACCAATGAGAGAGCCCTTCTTTTTAAAGAGTGGAGAAAACGTTTTGTGAAAATGTAGCAATTGCTCTTAACTTACAGCAGAGGGGGCTCACTTCTTACAAATCACACAGAAGCCACACAGTCTGTGTTCTTTCAGAAGGGAAATACAGAGTCTGGGCATTTACTACGCATCACTAAAATAGAAAGATTCCAAAGTATCTCTATGTATCAAAAACAAAGTGCTGAAGCACACAAGTGTCATTTGTACTCTGATGTGAAACTCAAATTGATGCAAACTCTTAATAAGTGCTGAGTAGATAAATTGTATTACTATTTTTTTTATTATTCCACCCTTCACTCCAAGGTCTCAGGGCAGGTTGCAGCAATTAAAACACCATGTTAAAACAGTTTGAAACAACTTAAGGTCTCAGAAATAAGGAGGGTCCTAAAAATACACATTTCAGGTGTAAAAAGGTAAAGGGGCTTTTATTGAGAATCAGATGCTACGAGTTAAACCACAACCAGACCCTCAAAGTGTCCCTATTTTCTAGAGACATCCCTAAATTAGAGAAGATGCCCAGGTTTCTGATTTGATCCTGGAATGTTCCCACTTTTCCTTAAGATGCCCCTATTTTCATTGAAGAAATGTTGGAGGGTATGGAGTTATCCACCCCCCCCCAAAGCCGTCTGACAGCAATCCTGTATAGGGAACTACCTAATTGCATCACTGCTCTGATGCAGAGAAAAGCTGCAGCCTGCACAAATTCTATGCATACAGGGCTTGTTTACGGTTTCTCCTGAACAAATGAAGGCCCAGGGGGCAGGGGCAAGAAGAAAATCCTACTTCTTCCTCCACCGGCTTATATGTTCAGATCAGGGCTGCTAGAAGTGGGGTCAGAATGAAGAAAATGAGGGAGAAGCATTTTTTAAATTTATACAGTGCTAGTTGTTTTTTTAAAAACCCTCAAAGTAGTTTACAAACAGAAAAAACCCCCAATAGAATTATTGATAAAAAGTCAAAAACAACTATTTAAAACATTCCAAAAAAATAAAATAAAATCAGCAACGAACTTAAAATAGATTAAAACACACGTCAATATTGTACATATCAAGGTATGGTTGTCTAAACAAAAATGTTTTTAGCAGGCATGGAAAAGAGTACAGTGAAGGTGCCTGTTTGGTGTCAATAGGTAGGGAGTTCCACCGTGTATGTGCTGAAACAATAAAGGATTGATTTCATACAAATGCAGAATGGGTACTATGTGACACCTGTAGCAGTGTCATTTCTGCAAAGTGGGGGCATATATGGAGTAATGCAAATGTGCAAAGTAAACTAGTTCCAAGCAGGCACAACCCTGCTTCTTCTTCCACATGCTTATGTCTCATGTGAGCAGGGCTCCTAGGAGTGGGGTCAGAATGAAGAAAATGAGTAAGAAGATAGGGAAAATCTAGCCATTTCTCCATCTAATAGTGTGTTGCCAAAACAAACAAACTCATACCCTAATAATATAAAACACATTTCTTAATAGCTTGCTGATATTTTAAGATGTTGCATTTCTCAATTTGGTTCTAATGGCTTGTGTATGAATGTGTAAAAAAAGGAAGGGAGAAAAAGAAGAAGAGATATGTCTACGAAATCAGCATCAGATTGGCCCTGTTAAGCACAGAGACATAATTAAGGAAAATCTTTCTGTGGAAAGGTCACATCAATTTCCAGAATGTACTACATATTTTTCTTCCCTCTCAAGACTGTATAGTTAGCAAAGTCATTGGATGGGTAACTCAAACTTCCACCCACCCATGTTTGAATTTTCTGATCATCTCCTCATTTGGGGATTATGTATTAGTCTGTTTGCAGAGGGAGGAAATGGGTAGAATGGTGGTCCATTTGCAGGATGAGACAGGTGTCGTGATCTGCCCTGTGAGACAAATTTCTTTCTCACACAAGTGTGTCTGCAGGGTTGTTTACGAAAATGAATCCAAATCAATGTCATGGCTGTGAACCAGGACTCCTTGGATGCAGAGAGCCTGGGCCAGAGGAAGAGTAGGTCAGAGGAGGAAAACAGAGCTGCTCCCCAATTCTTCCTGAGTAGCTCCAGCAGCAACAGATCCCACACCCTGCACACCAACTCCCAAGGAGGCACCTCTGCATCTGAATTCTTGTAAATAGACCTCAGGCTCCTGGGAGGATCAGCAAAATGCTGAGCAGCCTCCAACAAATAAGTCTTCACAACTCAACCCCACATTCTAGGAGGAAACAATGGCTGTATAAAAAGGTGCTGGACTTCTAAGTGGAGCAGCACTCAGTGGGTGAAACTTTGGTCTAGCTCAAACAATAAAAAATCTAACAGTTGCTCCATGCTAGTGCTGAGACAACTTGCTCGCTGTTTCATCTATAGGATTGCAACCTATGGCACTGAACTAGTACTGATGGAGCTATCTGGGGGTTCTGAGCTTGCTGCAACCAAGCTGGCTCTGAAAATCTGGCTCTGCCTTTCTTTTCAGCTACTGCCTCCACAGTCACAAAGACTAGGACAAAATATTGTTCTATTTCAACAACGGAACAGAAAAAAAGAGTCCTTGGTGTGCATGTACAAGATGTTAGGGGATTGCAAGCTCTAAAGGAGAGAAAGGGGGCATGTAAATAACAGTGGCAAGAGGGAGAGAGGTATTTGATAGATCTGAATAATATCCAAGCGGAGCTCACGGTGTGAATTCAGATAGGCTTGTAATATTTGCCTCATTCGGCGGTAAATAATGCAATCCTGAAAGTTCTTCTATGACTTTGATTAAAAACTGAGTCAGAGAGGAACTTGAACCTGCTCTTTTGTCCATGCCTCCAACTCACCCACCTACCTGATTATGGTTTTGTGCTACCTGGCTGTGATACGTCTGGGAGAGATGCCAAGGCTGTTTGACTCCTAGTCCATGTGGCTATCTGGAACTAAATCCAGGTGTACCGAAGGAGTGAGCTTTGAAAACGCCAGAGGATAAACAATAAAAAAGCAATTTCTGCTTTAGAAGTAGCACAGTATGCCAAGGCAGACAGAAAGTTGAATGAGTGGATAGAGGAAGATTGCACGGGAGGAAAAGGAGCAGAGAAGAGATGCAAAAGAAGATTAGATGGTTGTTTAGTTGGCTTGCAGGTTGGAGCAGGGAGGGATAGACTGTCCCCAACCCTTGCCTATGACTGAGTTGGGTATTTAGGTCCAAGAGTGGCTCTAAGTCTGTGTGGTGCCCATGGGTGCTACGGTGCCTACCTGTACTTCACATGGCACATGCAAAAGGTTTCAGTAAACATTCCCTCAAAAATCCACAAAGCACAAGAGACTGCTTGCTGTTCCTGCTCAGTTTTTGTTTGCACTGGCTCAGCCTCTCCTGCATGTAACACACAGACTTCAAACATGCCCACATTTCACTGGATGCCAAAGGTTGGTGCTGAGAAGAGAGGCAAAAAGTCTCTCTGTGAGTGAGTATGGCAGTGGCTGATGTACATACCCTGTTCTTTATTCCTGGATGGTATATGCCCACATTATTTTGTGGTTTTGCCTCTTTTTCTATTCTTTTATATGTAGCTGCCATTATGCCATGCCTATGCCAGCCATTTTGTGTTTAAGCTAAGCCATAGTGGCAGCCATTTTGTGACTGGTGCCAACAGCACTTTCTCAAAATTCCCAATGTGCCCACTAGTCCCAAAAGATCGATAGCTTCTGCTCCAAGCATTGTCAAATGATTGGGGGGGGGAACAGCACTGGAGAGAGGGCAAGATTCACAGCAAGAAAAGACCTGCTCTTCAATATATTCAAGTTTAAATTACAAAAATAAAAAACCCAATAAATGAGCACATCTTAAGAGCATTGGTGCTGTGGTCTAAACCACTGAGCCTCTTGAGTTTACTGATTGGAAGGTTGGTGGTTCAAATCCCTGCAACAGAGTGAGCTCCCGTTGCTCTGTTCCAGCTCCAGCCACCTAGCAGTTCGAAAGCACGCCAGTGCGAGTAGATAAATAGGTACCACTGCAGCGGGAAGGTAAATTGGGTTTATGCGCACTCTGGTTTCTGTCACGGTGTCCTGTTGCGCCAGAAGTGGTTTAGTCATGCTAGCTACATGACCCAGAAAGCTGTCTGTAGACAAACACTGGCCTGAAAGAAAGATGAGCGTCGCAACCGCATAGTTGCCTTTGACTGGTCCAGTGGACCTTTACCTTTTTACCTTTGCCCATTAAAATCTCATTGTAATCATAATTATCATTTATATAGCATATCCTGGCTCAGCTTGCAGCACCAGTGCAATGCACTACTGCTTAGAACAATGTGCCATAAAATGTTCATTTCATTGACTCTCTTTTCCCCCCTTTTCATTTTGCAGCTACCAGGACTGGGTATATGATGCACTTCAAAAAGCTTTCCTATGTAGCTCTCCACAAACTCAAAGATGCTCCTAAGTCATTATTCACAAACGTTTTGAACATGGGTTCCCATCTGATCTTATACTGTTTTGTGTCTCTCTCCCAAAAATAACATTTTGCTGTTGCACACAAAGAGCTGTAGATGAGGGCACCAACCCAATTTGGGCAGTAGAAAAGAACTATAGAACAGGCTATTTCTGATCCCTTCCTAAAGCCACATACAAAGCAATGACCAGGAAAGTAGATTTCAGCCAAACATTAGGAGAAACTCCCTAATAGTAGAAGCTCCTTGATGGTGGAACAGGCTGCTTCAGGAGATGGAGGGGGTGTTTTTAAGCAGAGGCTGGGCTGACCACTTGTCAGGGCTGCTGTAGTTATATCCTGAGATCCAGCGCCAAGGGCCTTCTGGCGGTTCCCTCATTGCAAGAAGTAACGTTACAGGGAACCAGATAGAGGGCCTTCTCAGTAGTGGCGCCCACCCTGTGGAACACCCTCCCTTCAGATGTGAAGGAAATAAGTAGCTATCCTATCTTTAAAAGACATCTGAAGGCAGCCCTGTTCAGGGAAGTTTTTAATATTTAACACTGTATTGTTTTTAATACTTGATTGGGAGCCACCCAGAGTGGCTGGGGAGACTCAGCCAGATGGGCGGGGTATAAATAATAAATTATTATTATTATTATTATTATTATTATTATTATTATTATCCTGCAGTGCAGATCCTGCATTGAGCAGAGGCTGGAATAGATGAGCTCCAAGGTCGCTGTCAAGCAGTTTGATCACTAAAACAAAGTCGCAGATTCTCTGCAGCTCCCCCCCCCCCCAACCCTCACACATTGGAATACTGGGTTAGTGGGGATGCTATTACTCTCTGAAATCCAGTGTGGATAAATGGGGGTTATTGGTGGGCATTCAACCCTCCCTGGTCTCAGGGGGAGGGAAGACACTTCTTCCCTAAGATGTTCTCATTCCACTGGAATTGCCATGCAATGTGTTTCAGGTATCCCATACCACCCCCTGGTTAGGGAGATTTGGGTTCTTGCCATTTATAAACTACAAATTCTAGGCTTATGATATAAACAATACCAGGAGAGTCATTCACTTGTAGAGGTTTGCAGAGATCATTGGCATCAGGGAACATTACGTGATACAAAATTCATCAAGGTGTCTAAACAAAAGCAATATGTTAGATTAAATGATTTTGAAAAACGGTTATGTCGGGAACAGTAAAAACGTCAGCATCACCTCCTCCATTGTTGCTCAACTCAGAGCCTCATAACAAGACATTGCAGGGTCAGACTTTCAAGCTGGAAAGAAACCAAACTCATAAACTGTGTGGTTCAAAACCACAATATCTGGCAAAACCCACTTTGGGGGAAGCATTCCCATCCATATGTCATTCTGAAGCAAGCTGTGGGTGATTTAATAAGCCTGACAGCTGGAGCTTGATGTAAGAACTGTTCAAGGAGGTTTCAAATCGTGTCAGACACAGGATGTAAGATGCTAACACAACAGGGTTTCTTTCTTTCTTTCTTTCTTTCTTTCTTTTTGACCTCTCCTGGTTTGAGATGTAAGCGATTAAGATTTGGATACCAAAAGAAGTCAGGGCAAACTGTGACAGCTGCAGCCAATAACTGGCTAGGATAAGCAGAAAGGCATCTGGAATAATCACCTATCTCTGAGCCTTCCTCCCTTAGGGGTTCCCCAGTTGGTGCCTCCCACCACACCTCTGCATCCAGCCAGTCTGTGACATCAGGATTTGAGAACAAGAGCACTCTCCCCTCCGGTGATGTCCAGCAATTGGTATTCAGAGGCATTGCTAACTCCATCGATAGCCATCAATAGCCTGCTCCTCCCTTAAACTGTCTAATCCTATTTTAAAACATTCTAGGTTGCTGGCTATCCTATGAGAATGAGTTCCACAGTTTAATTATGCACTGTGTGAAGAAGTACCGTACTTCCTTTTTTGTGTACATGATTTTCCATATGATCCTCATATCAATCCAGTGAGGTAGACCAGGCTGCAAATTGCTGACTGTCCTACATTCTTTATGTTCTGCTCTCCTGCATCCTAGCCCTGCATTCTCACCACTACACCATCCTTTTAAAGAAAAGGTATGAAAGCTTATTTTTACAAACACTTTTTCATGTTGTTTTTTTCCTTGTAGCTTTGTTTGTGATTGATATTCCTCTTTCTCCCTTAAATGTTCTCTCTCAGCATTTATTTTTCCTACTTTAATTTGCAGGGTTGGATTTCTTTGCATTGCATCTCCTCCTTTTCAAATTCATTTATCTTGTACTTTATGCCGGTGGGCAGTGCCTAGCTCTCTTGTAGCTATTGCACAGCTGTAAGTGCTTAATAAATCACAATGATGACTATAACCCAGATCACAGTTTCCCCCCACACAGAACAATTGCCACCCTACCTCCTATGAATAAGACAAATGAATTAATTTTTTAAAATTATATTTATACTCTGCTTTTCCATTTCAACAAAACATTTCAAGGCAGCTAACAAAAGAATCATTGAATTAAAAGAATTGTAGAATTGGAAGGGACCCTGAGGATCACCTAGTCCAGTGGTTCTCAACCATTATCCCTGAGCTCTGGCCTTTCTAGCTAGGGGTGATGGGAGTTGTAGTTCAACAACATCTGAGGACCCACAGGTTGAGAAAGGCTGATCTGGTCCAACCCCTTGCAATGCAAGCACATGCATAAGAGGATCAAATCTGAAACCTTGGTGTTATTAGCACCATGCTCCAACCAACTGAGCTATCCAGGCACGAGCCTGTCAGCTATGAACCTCTTGAGCCAGATATACCTCTAGAGACAGTAACCTTTGAGCCACATTTCCCAAAGTAATTCATTTGCCAGTGTCTCCTCGGAGCAAATTGTATGCCTGGAGCTATCCAAGGTCCTGTATTGTCCCACCCCAAGCCTATCTGCTGTCCCACTGCCTGACTAAGCCACTCTTAGGTGTCCATCATACCTAGTCCGTGGCTGCTCACTGGAGGTCAGGACAGAACAAAGAGTGGCTGGAATCTGAAAAGGTAAGAGCTCCTTAGCCTCTAAAGTGGAGGTGGAGGATGTTCTACCAGAGCAAAAGGAATCAGTGCTCTCTGCTGCAAAACAAAAACCTCCACATACAATATAAACGCATCAAGAATTAAGCCTCACTAGAGGGGAAGGGACAGAAAACCACTCTGATCTGAGGGACAGCAGATAGGTTTGGGCTGGGACCTTACAGGAGGGTAAACACATTTCCGACTCCTAAAATAACTATGTTAGATCCCAAACACGATCAAAATTCATCTTTCAAGCAGTAAATGAAATAATGGCAAGCGACTTGATTGTCTATTGCATGCATGTCTAACACAGGTGTGGGACTGAGTGCAGTGTTGCTTTGAAATATTACATAAGGGACATGGAAGATGTCTGAAATTCTAGAGACAATGGAATCTGCACTCATGTAAATAATGTTTAGTCATGAGTGCAGTTTCCATTGCCTCTTGAAATGGCTGAGGCCATTTCCAAGAGGTATATTGAATTTAATTTCTGGGAAATCTCTATGAATCTGCAAACAATCCTCCGATTGTGAGTTTTCAAGGTGTTAATAAGATGTTAGCCTTTATCTGGCAGACACAGATGATTCCAGAATCCCTCTATAAAAACAAATTTGTCTAGCCTAAAGGAAAAGAATGCTCTGACCCTTAGGAATACCGGAAGATTTTACAATTTTCAGATTGCTGTCTTCATGAGCCAAGTGAACTGTGCTCTGTGAAGCAAAAACAGCTGCGGGTGCAGCCAGAAATGTAAATGCTCCAGATTCCCTAGAAGCTGCTTTGCCTGTAACATCAAAGAACTGCCCCGCCCCCCCCAAAAAAAACCACTAAGAAGGGAAAACAAGGCATTGTTTTAAGGTTCCATGAGGCACAGTTGCTTAGAAAGGGAGGTCCTGAAAACAAAAAGAAATTGTACCCAATATACATGTTTCCCATTCTTAAAATTTGGCTGCTGTGTCTGATATTATGCTTTTAAGAACATAAGGAGGCCCCTGCTGAATCACGCCAAAGGCCCCTCTCACCCATCATTCTGTTCTCACAACAGCTAGCCAGATGCCTATGGGAAATCTGCAAGTACCTGAGTGCAATGCCACTCTTGCCACTTGAGATTCCCAGCAAATGGTACTCAGAAGCATCCTGCATCTGGCAGTGGAGGTAGAACATGGCCTTCATAGTTATCCTCCATCTATTTGTCTACTCCTCTTTTAAAGCCGTCCAAACTGGCAGCCAGCATTCCCTTGTGGGAGCAAATTTCACAATTTAGCTAAGTGCCAACAGAAATCGCACCACCACCAGCTCCTTCTGTTTCTGGAAGTTTGTGTCCAATTGCATCAAGACATGCCTGTAAATTCAAAGCAAGGGGTTTTTAAATCCCAGATGAATGAGTTGGAGTGTGACAGCATATTGAGTCGGTTGGATCTCCTAGTTTTCCCTGATGGATTCTTCTTGCAGATTTCAACCCCACCCCCAGTCACTTGGCCCAATATTATTTCATCTGCAAACACAAGCTATTCTCCACAGATACATTTCAGGGACTGCTGCTGCTGCTGCTTGTTTGCTGCGGGCTATCTCTGTTATCCACCAGTTAACGCACTGTGGTTGTCCATAAGAATGTGTGGTTCAGGATGGCCGTGACTGCTTACAGATGGAATACAACATTCCCTGTGCCCTAGCCCATAAGATTTTGGGTTGCTGTGTGCTTTCTCTCCTTTTATTGTAATTCAGACCAATTATTCTGATTTTGACTATCATTATAAACAGCATCACAGAATCTGTAGGCATTTTGAGCATTCTTCCTCTCTCTTTTAATCATCTACCTCTTTTAAAGAATATAACTCAATGGCACTATAAATGCATATTTAAACACCAGTGTTCAAGGAGAATACTTTGCGGGTGTCTGTTCTGCATGCTAAGAAGCAACGTTGGCCCTTGTTAATTAAAGAGAACTAATCCTCAGCAATCAAAACAGGTTCACTTCATATTCAGTCTGCCTCATACGTTCCAAATAATGATCTCTCTTTCTCTCTCTCTCTTTTCTCCAACCCACCACCCTTTTCAAACTGGCAATAAACTAAATAACATTTTGAGATGGTGAAATATGCAGAATCAATTCTTTGGCACCCAGACTCTGTGGCTGTCCCTGTTCTGTTAGAATAGCATTTGTCAGGCACCTGCTGCATGCACTTTCTGAAAACAATTGAAGACATTTTTGTTCAAACAAGCTTTCTCAATCAGATGAATATGTCTCTGCTGTGGGTGTCTATCTAGCACTGTTTTTAAATTTATCTGCTTTTATTTTCTGTGTTGTTTTTAATATTTGTTTAAAAAGCTGTTTTTATTGTATTTTGTACATTTCTGTGGAAGAGGATTAATATATGATCAAATAAATAGATAAATAAAAACAATACCTCACAATCTTGTCACTCTGTTTAAAGGGGGGGGGACACCTGAAGAAAAAGTGGCTGTGAAATCTCATCTTCAGGATTGTGTACACAGACAGTAGAATCAAGTGATAAAGCCTGTCTTGGACTGTACCACAACAGACGGCAGAAAGTATGCTGAATTTCTGAATGCTCCCCAACGAAGGGAAGTTTGATTTACTTGTGAAGTAAATATTGGATAAAAGTACAGTGGTACCTCGGGTTAAGAACTTAATTCGTTCTGGAGGTCCGTTCTTAACCTGAAACTGTTCTTAACCTGAAGCACCACTTTAGCTAATGGGGCCTCCTGCTGCCGCCGCCCGATTTCTGTTCTCATCCTGAAGCAAAGTTCTTAACCCGAGGTACTATTTCTGGGTTAGTGGAGTCTGTAACCTGAAGCGTCTGTAACCTGAAGCATCTGTAACCTGAGGTACCACTGTAGCTGGCCAGCCCCTGCTCCATACCTAAAGGAGCTTCTCCGACTTAGGTTCCCCCAGACGTTGTTGGACAACAATTACCATAGCCATTGAGAACTGACCACACTTCCTGGGCTTGATGGGAATTGTTGTTCAAAATATCTGGAGGGCCTCAATTTGGGAAGACTGGTCTGGGTGTGGTGACATTGCTACAGTTAGGAGAGAAGCACTGAAAACATGAATTGAGCAAATTTTCTTAAAATGGAATATCAATGGTACTTAATGCTACATGGACTAAACAGGATATACTGAGCATCACATAATAATTGTTGGAGATGCATAGCATTAAGAGCAGACTTTATAACATATATTTTTGGGAAGATAACCCAGGTATTCTGGAAAGCAATTTGAAGTATTATCATTGACATACATAGCCTTTGGATCCTAAAATACTACATCTGGGTTACTTAAAATTCCAGTTGTAGATTCTGGGGTAGTGGCAAAATTGCTCACTATGGCAAAAATATACATAGCAAAAGACTAATGCTCCATTAGGCTTGATAAAATCTGGAACATTTCAATGATGTCCAAACTAATATAGATGATTAAGTAATTAACATCCATACAAGCTCCTAGAGTGCTGGTCTTCATTTGTGATGCTCTGGAATAATCAAAACCAGGACAATGTTTGACCATGTAGTGATTTTTCCTGCTTGCAACTGTGCTGACCTTATACAGACTGTATGAATAGAGTGTATTAATCTATCTATCTATCTATATATATATAACCCACCCTTGTACAAGAACATCAGGATGGCACTGCTGGAAAGCAGGCAACATGGCAGATTACATGGCTGGCTGGGAGAAAACCATGAAAGCAAATGTAAAAGAATGCAAGGGAGGGGGTAAATTGCTTCCATTATCCCACCCCCTGGAAAGCATTACTTTAGATCAGTCCCCCAGAACTAGGTCACTGGGGTACAGCTAGAACAGCCTGTTCACATCCAGAACAAAGCAAAAGAAAAACTGGCTTTGTCTTGAAATTTGCCTTGAAAATCCCTTCCTGCTCTCTTTCCTGGTGCCTGAATGAAGCTTCACTGATTGTCTTGCCTTTTACCGAATAGCACTTGTAGAGAAATGTGTTGAGGTTACTACCGGAGGGCAAAGTGAATTCATGCATAAGAGCAAATGTGAACTTGTATATTCTCCAGTTGGGATTCCTAAACACAGATGACTGCTTGGGGATAGAACTACTGCTGAGCTGAGACGGGGGCGGGCGGGGGCTGATTTCATGAGCATTTTGCCAAAACAAGCTCCCTGCTTTTCACATTTCTGCCCCCTGCCCTGACACTTTCCTTTGCAAAGAAATGAATATAGGAAATTGCCTCAAACCAGGTAAGTTATTTATAGTCCAGCCCAGCATTGCCTACATCCAGCTGGCGGTAGATTTCCTGGGGAATAATAATAATAATAATAATATTTATACCCCGCCCATCTGGATGGTTTTCCCTAGCCACTCTTATCATCTGCTCCCTGACCTTTGCAACTGGAGATTCCAAGGATTGGGGCCCGGGACCTTCTGTATGCAAGTCATGGTCTCTGCCACTGAACAATGGCCCTTCCCTTGTGAAACTTCCCAAAGGGCAGGTGGAAGTTGTGCAGAAGAGAGACTGCATCCCCATTGCTGTAACAACCAGGTTGATGCCGTCTTACACCTAAATGTGCATCCTATTGAAACAGAGCAAGGCAGAGGAAGAGCACTTTAATTAACTGATCAGCAAAACTTATATGCTACTTGATTGCAATGAAACCTCCAAGCAGCTTAGGAGAAATATTGAAATTATCAAGAAAAATAATTAAAAACATATAAAGGCAATTAAAACCAGCAGTGGAAGAGATCAAAGCATGTGCATTATGATCTGCATGTGAGCATGGGTTTTGCTGCTTTGTTAGAATCCAGCACATGGCTAAATAAAGATAATTTTGTGAACATGGGGGCGGGGGGGGGGAGGGATTGACTTTTGGGGCAGTAAGTCTGTGTTTTAAGGGGAAACATTCTAGAATATTACCATATAGTTGGGGGAGTCATAATTGCCACTGAGATGTGCTGCCTGACAGATGCTCAAAATTTTGTATAATGGACAGAATATCACAGATTATTGTTCTTCCAAATAAACACAGAAACTAGCATTTCTCAAACAAGTTCACTTTCTCTAGCAGGGCAGCTGTGTTACTCCGTCGCAGCAAAAGCAGACTATCTTAAAGACGAACAACTTTACGATGGTACAAACTTGATGAAGTGGACTCTAGTCTGTGAAACTGAATTCCACAATAAATGTTTTAGCCTTTACGATGCTACAAGACTCTTTGCTGTGTTTGCTTTCAGTCAACATTCTTTTATACTGTACTGATGGAGCAATATAAGCCATAGCAGCACAAAAATTAATTAATCTGACTCCTTTATAATGTGGGTCTTTTTTGCCCTCTGGGATTCAGCATGTTATCCTTGCCATGGTGAACCTATATGATATAAACGTTCAAAACGTCTTGGGGCACCTTAAATTTATTGTGGTACAAGCTTTCATGGACCATAATCCACTTCATCACAGGCATGAAGTTTTATCCTCGGTTGGCAGCTGTGTGTGTGTGTGTGTGTGTGTGTGTGTGATAATACACATAACACGAATGAACGGGACAGAACTGAAAAGGATTACCTTTAAAATTCTGTTGGGGGCTTTTTCCTGTCTTCTGCCAGTGTGCTAGCACTTACATTTTTAAAAACAGCAATAATCCCTTTAAACCCAAAGCTGCAGTTAAAAATTCATTTTGTGAATGAATTTTGTGAAACAAGGTCTAATTAAGCTCCCCCACCTCTTCCCACAATGTAAATGTAAGTCTCAGTAGAATATAAAGCAACTTCATGAAACATGAGCCAACACAATAAAAAAAAATCCTTTGGAAAAAAATGACTTTTAGAATGAGTGCTAAAAAGCCAGTAGCAAAATAGACAGTTGTGCTTTGATCGATAAAATGTTTAACAGTTTAGACACCACTAAGGAGAGCTCTGTCCCCTTACTGTTTATACTTCTAAAAGAAACAAGATACAGACAGGGAGGGGGGCAAAATTCCATTCAGTTCACACTGAAAAGCAAACCTACCTAATTTTCACTGTCTGATACTAGATATGACCTGAAATATATTTGCACTTCTTCAAATTTTGCAAAGTAATGTGTACAAAAAAACATCCACCGGGGTAACATAAAATGCCCATTTATTGTGAAAATAACATAAACAGTGCATAATATTTGGGGGAATTGGTCTGCAAAAATGTGTATATTAGGCAAAATTGGGTACAAATGCTGATGAATTTTCATGAATACAATTTTTTTTAAAGGCAAACTGATATGAGAATGTGGAGAACTGATGGCTGGAAAAATAAGAAACTGAGTGAACTTGACAAATTCCCCCATCCCTAGGCACAGAGTGCTATCCTACCTTGAAGTTCTGAGGAAGCAGGGAGCTACTGATTTATTTATTGTTTATTTATGAAATTTATATCCAGCCCTTCATCCCAAAGCAGCCCAGGAGGAGGTACTTCCTTAATCTCAGCAACTAACAGTAGGCTGTGAAATCATAGCACATCTGGCGGCAAACGCAGGGTTGCATTACTCATCTAGAAACAAGAACATGACTAGCGCGCAACTGTTTTCTGCACGAAGCAACTTCTTTTTCAGAATTAAAGCTGCGTGAATTTGACTACACCAGAAAATGAAAGAACGTGTCTCATGCAAAACTATGACTCCACACCACCAAACTGCAGAAAACAAGTCAGACCAAAGGATGGCATGAAAATATTGTTATGAATTTGGGAGGGTAGACACCCCCTCCCCAATCTCTACATTCACTTTATCCAAGGAAACACAAACCCTGGTTAAATGTCAAGACCCCTGGAATCTCTTGCTACCGTTCAGCAGAAATTGGGGTGGCCAGTAGCAATATATTGCTATGGCACTGATGAAGTTGGGAAGAAGAGAAAGTAGGGTCGCCTGCCCCCCCCCCACTAATTGCATTAAAAGACTGCAGCACCAGGACCTGAGAGAGCAGAGTTCAAATCCCCACTCAGCTATGAAGCTCACTGAGCGACTTTGAGCCAGGCACCATCTCTCAGCCTAAGGTACCTCACAGGGTAGTTGTGAGAGTAAAATAGGGGGGGAGGGGAATACACTGCCTGTGTGTGTCTCATTCTCCCTGCCCTCCTAACTGAATGTTTAATTAACAAAGTGTTTAATTAGAGTTTTAAATCCTAATTAAAGACTATGCAAGGCCCCTGATTCAGTTCAGGGCTGGATCTGGTCTGGGGCTGCTCTGAAGTGCTGGATCAGGCCCTAAACTGGATTGGGGAGGGGCATGAATAGACATAATGCATTAAAATAAATAAATAACTATGAGTCCCCAGATGAAATATATGTCATACATCACCTTGTGGCTCCCAAAGGCTCCCAAAACAAGTAAAGCTGCAAGCCGGAATTAATATTAATAGGACGAATAACCCCAATTGCTCTGTGAGCAGCAGATCTCAGGTGATAGCAAAATTAAAAAGAAAAACCAGCAGCCATCACTACAAGATGAAGTTACTCATTTTACAAAGATACAAATCTCTCTCTCTCTCTTATACAAGTCCATTTGTGAACTTAATAGTGCGATGTTAAATTCCACCCTGTGTGGAATTTAAAGTTAATAAATAGCATGGTGTTCAACTGAGTTCTCCTCAGAGTAGACCCACTGAAATTAATGGGCCAGAGGAAAACTTAGCTGACCACCACCCACAGTGGTTCTTAGGTTTTATATATTGCCTTATTTTATGGTACAGGCAACTCTCCATTTGCACATGCTCAAGTCATGTGCAACAGCTGATATGCATGCCGTTTTCACCATGAGAAGGAGGCAGGCCAAGGCAGGGGTGGAAGTGGGCAGGCATATGTGTATCCTGCTGACGGCCACTGTGCCTCGGAACGCAACCCCCACATAAATGGGGAGTTGCCTTTAAGTTGTCCTATGAAGGGCTGTATCCATATAGCTTAACAAACAAACATGCTTCCCTTTTCAATCAGAATCACTCTACCTAGCAACATCCTTAAGAGCTGTTGGTTTTATATACCATGTATGAGACAATCAATTTCTTAGCAATTGAAACTAGCATAATGATTAAGCTTTTCTTTATTTTCTCATGGAAGTGGGGTTGGGGGACCCCAGCAACCTCTTTCATTTTGCTGTTCAGAATCACTTCAGTCTCTCCCCTCCACAAAAAAAAAAGCATCCAGTTCACGGTTACATTCTCACCATCAAATCTTTGCTGCTAGTTAAAGGTAAAGGGACCCCTGACCATTAGGTCCCGTCACAGACAACTCTGGGGTTGTGATGCTCATCTCGCTTTACTGGCCGAGGGAGCCGGCGTACAGTTTCTGGGTCATGGCCAGCATGACTAAGCCGCTTCTGGCGAACCAGAGCAGCGTACGGAGACGCTGTTTACCTTCCCGCCGGAGCAGTACCTATTTATCTACTTGCACTGCGTGCTTTTGAACTGCTAGGTTGGCAGGAGCAGGGACTGAGAATTAGGAGCTCACCCCGTTGCGGGGATTTGAACAGCTGTTAGTTACGGTAAGTAGAGGTAAAACATCAATAAGAGGCTGTTCTGATGAAAGAAGAATGGATTTCTCACAATGTGGTAAAATGAATCAATGCAAGGATGTTTCAAGCACTGGTGGAAGGAAGTGACATAGGAAGATGCTTTGTACTGTTGTCAGATCACTGGGCCATCTAACTCAGTGCTGCCTACATCAGCCTTCCCCAGTCTCGCCCATGGTTGTGCTACCTGGGGCTGGTGCGAGTTGTAGTCTAAAACATCTGGAAGGTACCAGGTTGGGGAAAGCTGGCCTAGATCGATTGGCAGTAACTCTCCAGAGTTTCTCAACCTGGCCCAGGGATGCCTGGGATGGAAGCTGGGGTCTTCTGCATGCAGCACATTTGCTTCACCACTGAGCAATTACCCTTCTATAACAAAACAAAACAAAACAAAACAAAACACAAAACAAAACAAAACAAAACAAAACAAAACAAAACAAAACAAAACACCATTGTAGTGCAGAAGCACAGACACACACAGATAGGCCTAAGCAACAGGCAATGAAAGATTTCCAATGAAAACTAAGACACACAAAGGCACAGATGGTGCAAATAATTTCTATAAGCATCATTCCCCCTTGCTGATGTGCTCAGGCTATTAGGATATATCTTGAATTCCATGTATTTTCATCATTCGCCTCTATTAGGATGGAAAATATATCCTGTTGCATGTCTGGCTAAAAATGTGGCCACCCATGCCATGAGCAAAACTGACAAAACTGGCAGAGCATGGCAAATACTGAACATGTCAATGAAGGATTTGATTAAGCATTTTCTAAAGTTTTGAACTGCGAGGGGAGGACATTTGTGTACACAGTGCAATGAAAGTTGGGCTGATGTTCCAGAGCTTGGCTTGTGATATGTCATTCTCTGGCTGTGAAAGTTAATGATCATTCTTGGTTATAAAAAAGCCAGGGGAGGGGGGCAAGCCCAGTTCTTTGGGGTTAATCAATGTCAATTAGCTTGAGGCTAGAGAAAAAGGTAAGATGAAAGGGAAATCGGGACCTGGGTGCAGATTCAATAAAAAGAATAAGGCAGAAGTGAATCCCACTTCCATTCCAAATTCTGTTGAAATGGATTTAGACACTAGGAGAGTATATATTGTTTAGTTATTATCCTTCCTTGCTTATGTTAGTGAGATCTGCAGTGTACCATCCTTTGCAGCTTAAACTTGGAAGTTAAGACAATGTCTAGAAACAATAACCCAGGATGTTTTAAGCCAGACTGGATTCTCCTGGTATTACCCCTTTTCTATCCCATAAAAACAACAATCACATACACATTGTTTTGTGAAGAAATAAAAGTAGCATTTACTTACATAATCTAGATCTCAAAGCAGCAACTACAGTAACAAGATGAAGGTGGGTTTATAAGAACTATCTAAGTTACAAAAGGAGAAAATGTAAGTTCAAGAACAGTGCCTGAGCTGCAGAGCTCTGACATGCACTTGTGGTCAGTTTGAAAGCATGACGAAGAAAGAAGAGGCTGCCCAGGAAGAAAGGACGGATGTAGTGTTACAGGTTCCTGTCAAGTCAGACAAGGGAAGTGATCTCACAGAGTTCTATCTAGCAAATTTTACAGGAAAGCTCTGTGAACCTCAGCCCCTTCATGTGCCCATCTGACACGTGCCCAACATGAATGGTTGGTTTGACTGAAATAATGCCCCACAAATTCTCCCTGCAGGGTTTGATGATTTTTCCATTTTGTCTTTCTTGGAATCTCAAGGCAGTGAAAAAGGAGAGTTGCCATGGGGATGGGGGCCCTCTTTGCTGACACAGGACCCGGAACCCTGGATTGCTTTCTGCTTAAGGGTGGCCTGTCTGAAGTGTCTCATGGTTAATTTAATCCCCCCCACACTCTTTTGCTGTCGGCTCCTTGTGGGCAAGATATTTCATTGCAAGAACTCTTCATTATGAATTATTGAATGGATTTCTTAATCTGTGTCTCATATGGTTAAAAAGGTAAAGGGACCCCTGACCGTTAGGTCCAGTCGCGAACGACTCTGGGGTTGCGGTGCTCATCTCGCTTTATTGGCCGAGGAAGCCGGCATACAGCTTCTGGGTCATGTGGCCAGCATGACTAAGCCGCTTCTGGCGAACCAGAGCAGCACATGGAAATGCCGCTTAGCTTCCCGCCAGAGTGGTACCTATTTATGTACTTGCACTTTGACGTGCTTTCAAACTGCTAGGTTGGCAGGAGCAGGGACCGAGCAACGGGAGCTCACCCCGTTGTGGGGATTCAAACTGCCAGCCTTCTGATCGGCAAGCCCTAGGCTCTGTGGTTTAGACCACAGCACCACCCACGTCCCTCTCATATGGTTAGCTGACCTTTATTTGTGTGTGCTTCATGTTCATTTAAAATTGCCAAACTTTTCATGTTGGTGACACACTTTTTAGACATGCATCATTTTGCGACAGTTTTACTAGCAAACTGGAGGTTAAACTAACCCCTTTCTAGCCCCAGGAGTGCAGGGAGCATTCACATGACACAGCTACACATTGCAGCCGACACACTAACGTGCTGTGTCACACAGTTTGGAAAGCTCTGTTTTAAATTAACTGTTACAGTTGAACTGATAATGTTGTACTGTAATGTATTATGTGTTTGTTTGTTTGTTTGTTTGTTTGTTTAAATTGTCTGTCCTGCAAACTGCTTTCTGAATAGTGTATGTCTGAAAAAATATTCTATTGCTCTGCAGAATTTTGGCAAACAATTGATATTCAGCCTTGGCAATCGGCACATGCCAGTTTTTGCAATTGTACCTGACAGCTGGCATGCCACAACAATCAGTACTGAACAGCGTTTGACATGCAGCAGTCAACATTTGATAGCATTTGACAGTTGAGACAATAGTTGCATGAACTAGAGAGATGGATAAAGAAGTGTGGCATCCAAGGAGCCCTTTGTATATTCTTCTTTCCTTCCTCCTCTTAGAACCTGGTATCCCAGAAGATCATCTGGTTTAAATGACTGTCCACTTGGATCCAGCTTTGCTTTTAGGACTAGATCTACCTTTTTATATTAAAAAAGAAAGTGCTTATTGAATTTTCCAAAAATTTAAGAACATATAAAGTAGACATATAAAAACTAAGAATATTTATTTTTCCATAAGCCACCTTTTGGGGAGAAACCCTACCCCACCCTGGGCAACTTCCAATGATTAATATAAAATATAAACAGCAATAAGCCTAAAAAACAGTGAAACTCTAATAGAAAAAACAGATAAGAAGCTGCAGTAACACAAAACCACACATATCAAGTCCAATAAAAGCACTAAGACTGAAACAAACCAATAATAATGAATACAGGTTAGAGCAGAGGTGGACTAGAGCAGGTTAAGAGCAGAGGACATCATTTCCTTTCCTTTCTCCCTCACCTCTCTGTCTTTTCCATCTCCTCCAACATTTCTCCAATGAAAATAGAGACGTCCCCTCCAACATTTCTCCCTCCAACATTTCTCTGATGAAAAATAGGAACATCCTAATGAAAAGCAGGACTGTCCCTGGAAAATAGGAAAACTTGGAAGGTCTGCCCTTCTGTCCTGCCCTTTTGCTGGGAGAGACACATATTGTTCTTTCAAGAGATCTGAATTGATCATTTGCAAGTGGGGAGAGTGCTTTTGTACTTGGGTCCTCCTTGGGGCCTTCCCTTATGCATCTAGTTGGTCGCTATGAGAACAGGGCATTGGACTAGAAGGGACTTTAGTCTGATCTAACAGAACTCCTCTGATGTTCTAGAGGACCTCAGCAATTAGGCCAAGGGCCACTTGCAACCCTAGAGATTTCCCACACCTGGTGCTAGAGGAACTTAATACGAGTATTAATTATCATTTATACATAGAGAAGTGAAGAGAGAATGGGTGTAGATGACAAGCAGATTGTAGCTATTGGGTAAAAGTAGCATCTGCCATCATCTGCTAGGTTAAAGAGAGGTAGATTCCTAATCCATTATGGGGAGGGACAGTTGCTTCACTTGAGAGATCTAGGTCAGGGAGCAAGTTATTACAATTCTTCAGTATTTCAGTCTCTAACCACCTATCAGTCCTATAGAAACTCTTCATATAACTTGGCTGCAAGAACAAATGGAGACCCGTAAAGGATGAATTAGAATGCCCCTTGATCAGAACGAACAATTTTACTTAACCAAGAAAGTAAGTTTGCTAATTAATGCAAAGAATATAGAATTGCAATCAAGGACATAAAATGAGTGAAATACTTCCAGCTTTGTATTATTGCCCCCAGCCAATGCAATATCTTAGACTGATTCTGGGCCCAGTTCCAAGGGCTGGTATTAACCTTTAAAGCCTGAAATGGCTTGTGGCCAGATTGCCTGAAGGATCACCTCCTCCCACATATACCTGCCCGGTTATTAAGATCTGCCACAGAGACTCTTCACAAACATGTTTCAGACTGCAACTTCCATTGGCTCAGTCAGCAGATCCACCCTCAAAACCATGTCTGTGGAATAGATAAGACAAGCTCTGCCCTATATGCTAGAACAGGAGACTGTTCCTAAAGCAGGTTATGCCCTTGTCAAGAGATGTGCAGACAAATATCCTATAAACATAGAAAGCCATGTTAAGGGTTTTCAGTTTTCAGTTAGCAGAAGCTATATTTTCTGGATTCCAAGAAGCTGGTAGACAGACAAAGAGAGGCTGATTTCTGACTCAAAACCTGTTTTGTTTTATTGGCAGCCTCAGATGATGATGCATGTATAGACTGCCCATTAACCATGTCCTCTGGGCAAGTCGTAACTTTTTTAAAGCAGTAAAATAGAAAGCCATAAACTATACAACTATACCTAAAGATAAAGGTAGTGCTCTTAGATATATAGTCAACAGCACCATTAATTAAAAATTATGAATATTGGCAATGCATAATCACATATTCCCCTGCCCAATCTATTACCTTGATTTTGAAAAGGAATGGGGAACCAGTTGCCTTCCAGATGTTGTTGAACAGCAACTCCCATCATCCAAGATCATTGGCCATGGGGCTGAAGGTAGCTGAAATCCAATATCTGGAGGGACACCAGTTCCACAGTCCTGATTTGAGATTCTTCTCTTTCCAAAAGATCTCCCCCCTTCTGACTGAAATGAGACCCAAGTAGAGTGTTTCCTCACACCTGTACTTCTCCTGTCCCCAACTCAGCTTTCCAGTTTTCTCTTGTCTGAATATTCTAAAAAGACACCAATCACTGTCTTTCAATCTAAGCTCAGAGGCTTCCTTCTCCTCAGAGTAGATTTTACACACACAGCTCAGGAGCTATAGAACCAGCTGAACACCAGAACCAACACTCAACTTCCCCAGCTCTCTAACTCTCTCTGCCGCTCCCCCCCCCACCAAAGTGCTGTCTCCATCCCCTCTGGCTAGCTGTACCCACAGCCGATCAGGATGAGGTTTCCAGCTCAGCATTTTTAAGCTACTCCACTCTGGTGGAATTCCACTGCACTCCATCTGATCTGATCTAGCCTAGCTTTGTGATTTCAAGGACCCGATCCACGCTTGGGGAATAAAGACACGTGGACATGGTATATTAGGTTAATGGGCAAGAAAAAGGCCACAACTTTATTGATTACAGCATGTGAGAAGGTATTGGCTTAGGCATTGGACCACGGAAGATTTGACTCCATCCACTCGGAGAGGGGTGAGTCTGTAGAGGGGTTAACCACCAGTCGGGGGAGCCTGTTGATGCTAATACAACTATAAGCTCTCCCCTGATGTCACCGAGGGTTGTGCCATGGCCCCCCGCCATACAGGCATCAGACAGGATCCACAACCGCTGGATTCCTTTAACAGAATACCCAAAATTGAAGGGATAGGCGATGGCCACACCTTGCCCTTCCAAACACCAACAACACATTCCAATGCCTAACTGCCACCCGAGCCCAAGAGGCATGGCGAAAATGTGTGTGCAATGGCCAGGATGGCTGGCGTGGCCGCATTTGAGCAGCAAACCATGCCCCCCACTGTGTCTCCCGATTGGGTGCCCAACTAGGGGGCGTGGCACGCCAGCCGTGACGATGGGCAGGGGGCAGAACACCCCCTGCATGGCGCGGGAATTGTCTCCCGCTCACAACACCTCCCCTCCGGAAGGAGTAGAGGCCTTCTGTCACAGCATAGCTTTGGATTCAGTACAGAGAGCAAATCAGGTCTCTTTTATGCAACAGAAGCACCTCCAGTTAATAGTTTCTGTGTCAACCAGTCACTTGTATGCTTTAGTCAAGCAAATAACTTGTCAAACTTGGCTATAAGCCATGAACTTAACAAGGAGATTGGCTTCACCACTTCAGCTGCCTCTCCTACAGAATCTCATCTTACAGATATAAAATAACAGGTAACCTCCAGGCCACAATTTTGTAACAATGCAGTCTTGAAAAATGTAACCAAAACGTGGTTCATTCACGGGATGCTTTTGATTACATGAGATGGCTGCTTAAAAAGAAGATGGAGTTGTGTAAACTAGTTCCGTAGCATGGCTGCATGGCTTCACACATGCCCTCTTCAGCCTCAAACTGAGTTCTAGATACTTCAGACTGTGTTGGATGTGCCATTGCATGCTCTATCTACTTTTTGGCATGTCATAAAACAATGTTAAATTTGGTTAGTAGTATGGTTACCAACTTCAGGGCTGACAGTCACCACATTTCTGATATTCACACAAACATGCATATGCAAAGTCTGCAAACAATTCCCATCAGATTGGTGAAGGCTGAATTAGATGAACTCATAGAGGATCCATGGTTACTAACCATGACGGTTTCACACAGTCTCCAACTTCAGAGACAGAATGCCTCTGAGTACCAGCTGCTGGACAGCAACCATTAGAGAAGACTCTGCCTTCGTATCCTACTTTTGGTCTTTGATCTGATCCAGAAGAGCTCTTATGTACAACTACTCTGATGCATACATTATTATTGTGTTGAGATCATTTCAATTATAATCATAACACCACTGTAGTAGCCTCCCTCTCAAATAAGATAGCTTACCAGGAGGTGGAGGGTTGTGTGGCAGTGAAGTCCGGTGCTCTGAAGAGGAACACTGAGTGAGATGCCTGTAGCTGTTGCCTTGCTAATTTTCCCAGAATGCTTCTGGGCCCTACACTTGGTTCCAGAGACATGCTGTGAAAATTCAGATAGTGGCAGTTGCAGCCTCCACATGTGGCACCTCTTTTTTGCTGTGCCAGGCCGTTGGGGGGGGCAGGCTAAGAAGGAGGCCAGCAGCAATGGTGAGCTGTCTAGTCTCTGTGGGTCATGGCATTTGCCTGTACATGCTGAGTCCAGACACTAGGCTTGATATCAACAGAAAGGCCCTTGAAGCCCATATAAAGAAACAGTTCTAAAAGCTTTCTTTCCCCCCATTTTTAGTGCAGCCATGCACCCTGCATATTCCTTTAAATATGTCTCTTTTGGTGGTCTTCTATCCAAGTAAAACCAATCCTAATCTTAGCATATCGCTCCTATGAAATCTGAGTGCCTCATTGCCCAGTGTGATATGCCTGCAGGCTAAGATTTATAATTGGGTAGAGGGGGAATTATATTAATACCAGCTGATTGTGCTGGTAGTCTATGCATGCCAGTTCTGTACTTGCTGTGCTTGTTCCATCACTGCTGGGTAGCGCTTAGCAAATGACAGCTACTTTTAAAATATGAGACGAGGTGCTTTACAAAAAGGAATAAAACATGGCTAGCTTTTAAAGATTATTAGCATGAACTGGATTTTTAAAAACACAATCCATATCTTAAGTGAACTTAAGGACTGTAAAGGACTCCAGGGATGCCAGAGAAACTTTCAGCATAAAGCCCTCTTCTATTTGACTGTGAATAGAACTGATTTCTTCTATTTGGATGCATTCGTTAGCCACCAAAGCAATGATTCCCCAAGGAGCTGAAATGTATATTGACAGATTGGTTGAATTCAGACATCATAATAAATGATGGTTTGTGATGACTGGAATGTGCCTATGCTAGAGTCAGGCTTGCTAGCTGCTCCTTGCCCTCTCCTCCTCAGGTTCAGCATGAGGAGACTAAAACCTTATGCTTCCTCTTTTGATTAATCATGGTATTAAATTGGTAATGCTCTTGCAAGCTACCTATCCTCTACCAATCCTCTGCCAATAGACAGGACAGAGTGTATAAGCATGCTAATGACACATCAGATCCTGAGGACACAGCAAAGGAAAGTGGCTTCTGAAATAATCAATTCGCTTCGCGCCATGATTTTAAGTGCATTTACCTACTTGGCAGTGAGTCCTACTGATTTTAATGAAAATTACTTTCACAAGATGTTGGATATAACATAATGATGGCTGACTGGGAACAGTTATGGGCCACAGGTATGAAGTTTACGGCATGCAATGCCTTAAGAGAGAATATTATGAAAATGATATACAGGTGGTACATGACCCCAGTCAAGCTTGCAAAAATCTATCATTTGCCCGATAATAAATGTTGGAAATGTAAAGAAACTGAAGGTACATTCTTTCACCTTTGGTGGACGTGCCCAAGGATTAAGGCTTTCTGGGAGATGATCTATAATGAATTGAAAAAGGTATTTAAATATACCTTCTTGAAGAAACCAGAGGCCTTTCTCCTGGGCATAGTCAGCCAATTGGTGCCAAAGAAGGATAGAACTTTTTTTATGTATGCAACAACAGCAGCAAGAATACTCATCGTGAAGTATTGGAAGACACAAGACCTACCCACTCTGGAAGAATGGCAGATGAAGGTGATGGACTATATGGAACTGGCGGAAATGACTGGCAGAATCCGAGACCAGGGAGAAGAGTCGGTGGAAGAAGATTGGAAGAAATTTAAAGACTATCTACAGAAATATTGTAAAATTAATGAAGGTTAGAATGATGTTGGATAGAAATTAAGTGGTTTTCAGCTGTAACACTATAAGGGAATATGAAAAATGGATTATTAATAGGTAAAAATTTAACGTTACAATAATTTAAGATTAAAGACTAGGATAAACAAAGAGGGTAAGGATTTGCTGAACCAACAAACCGAACTGGAATACAAAAACGGGAGGCGTGAGGAGGTCCGGGAAACAAGCTAATGAAAAATAAGTAATGGAAAGATTGAGTTGTTTTTAACCATTTTTATTTTGTATTTTCTTTTTTTATTATTTTTATTTTGTAATATTTTGAAAATCTTAATAAATATCTTATAAAAAAAAGAAAAAAAGAAAATTACTTTCAAGTAAACGTATTGGGATTGCAATCTAACATTATTTCTTCAGAAAAATTATTAATGAAAAGGTGAGTTTAGAATTTAGGAAGGTTCCCCGTTCTTCTCAGGCTACAGCATGGAATTTATCTACACACACACCCCGGTAAATCCACTCAGTTTAGCATGTTTAGTATACAGTCAGTTTGTCTCAACTGAGCAATTAATTTGCTGCTTCATCACAGTAATAAATTGACCTATAGATGTTGCTCTTCCTTAGTTTGGATGGAAGCAGGACCCAGGATGCCAGCTCCTGGAGAGCTGACTTTCTAGAGAGGTTGTTCATTACACTGTGAAGGCTCCCAGGTCTCAAGAATAAAGTTTATGATGTCATCAATTCAGTTTGCAGGAGTTTCCGCATGAAGAAAAGAAGACAAAATACCCTTCATGTATTGCATGCAACAGCTTGCAGAGTATAATTATCTCTAGCCAAGGAACAGTTAATATGCCAGAAGAATAGAGCCAATACAATAAGGCTGCAACCCTATACACACTAAAAGGGAATGATTAAAACACAATTCTCCATGTTAAACAGGTTTCACTTTTCAAAGAAACTGCGGATTTTTATGTGTGTGTTTACCTCCTTTCAATGTACATTTTCCCTCACATCCATTCCTATTTTACAGTGTACCAGGGTGTGATAGAAATCTCATTAGAGAAACGAGACCTAGATTTATGGATTTCACTTGTGATTCAGTTAGCATATTTACATCAATGTCATCATTGAGTGGAAATGATGAATGATGCTGAAGCCTCAGGCAGGAACAGAAGCAACAGAAATCAGTTTATCTGCTGGTTCCTTTTTGACTACAAAATTGAGCAAAGTTATTATTTAAACTGAAACAATAGACAAGCAGGGTTCTCAACACGGTTAGTAATTCAGGCAATTGGATATGTTTGCATGTATCAGCCAATATATAAGAGTACAATCAAGAGAAAGTTCTAGTCCCATTGTCATCAACAGAGAATCCAGGGTATAGCTAACACCCCTTCCTTTGAGCTGAGTCATTCAATCTGCTTTGAAGATTTAAAGTAGATCTGTGCAGAAACAGCCTCTTGAAATTATCCAGCCTATTTGTGGGCAGACAAAATGGGGGAGCAGCAAACCATTTCACCAAGTTTATCCATGGAGAGGAGAAACTCTCCCACAGAATTAGCCCTGGGTTTTGGCCGAGTATTTTTGAGGTTGTTTCTAATATTATTGGTAAGTCATTGAGCCCAAACCCTGCTTTGGTCCTTCTGTCACTAGACGCTGATCTAGACCCTCCTCTTACATAGAAAGACGTAACTGCCGTGCTGTTTACTGCTGTCTGCTTAGAGATCGTTTCTCACTGCAAAGACCCCAAAGGTCCATCCCTGACAGGATGGCAAGGGGAAGCTTGAAATCTGGCTCTTTCTGAGCATCTAACGCAACAGAGAAGGGTTATTGGGGGTCATGCTAAACACAATCATTTTGACAATGCATGGTTCCCATAACTTAGCTAGGTAAATAGAAGTGATGTCATTGTCAGACCTCCAGCTACTTACTGATGGAGAGGCTATGCCAAGGATAGTTAAAGCATTGGTGATACATTCAGTGATACATTCAGCTATTTGACAGTGTCCCGGATCGGTATGCCTTCTTATATGTGACTGAGGTATGCATGTAACACTCTACATTTCTCCCCCCCCCCACCCCGCAAAGTAGAACAAAGTAGTTTTATTATAAAACCAACAAAACTTTCTAAAGAAAAGAAAAGAAAAAGAATCAGTGACAATACCAGCGTTTTTCACAGTAACCACTGGTACAGAATGGGCTGCTGGCCTGATCCAGCAGGCTCTTATTTTCTCATGTGCCTGGAGGGACCTTCTCTGGAACCCACAGTGTCCCCTCCCCTCACTGAAATTGGCCCTGAAAGAAAGCATTCCTTTGTAGCCAGTAGAATAGGTCATGGTCTATATTTTGTTGTGCAGTGTGTGTGGCACCCACAACAAATTATCCTGACTGAAAATGAGCCTGCCCCTCTTCATCATTCCACATCCAAAGTTATGCCTCTTCTCTCCACCCCAATGACTCAGTTAATCAGGGTGTGTGCAGAATCAGCCTGAAGAAATGGCCGCTGCAAGCAAATTGAAGCATGTGAATTCTCCCTCTGTCTGGGATTCCCCAATTCTCTTGGTTCTTTGTGAGCCTGGCAGAGAGTCAAGGCCAACATCTGAAACCACAAAAACCCAGGGTGTCTTCCATTCATCTGCTTGTAAGGTGCTTCGAAACATAATCTCTTCTATTTTTAGGTTTCCTGTTAAATAAAGGTTAGCTGGGTAATTAAGTATTTTCTTTTCTTTCAAAAAGCAATCTCCTACTTCAGAATGTCTTGATTCTTAAATAAATGCATTTCACTGGAACCCTGGAACTGAATCTTGATAGGTTTTACCCAACCCTCACCAAGGTCAGTGCACACATCAGCCTGGTTTCATGGAGTGTAAAGGAAGCCCTGTAAAGAAGCCAAGTGTAGACCATTTTCCTGAATTCCCTGCATGTTCCAGAAAGGGATAAAAATGGCAGCTTTACCTCAGAGTAAGTGACAAAGAGTATCTTGCAGCCAGCCCTACACTGGGGTGGAGGGTGAGCGAACCCTTTTACCACAATGGGCAATGGGTGGAAAGAAGGAGGATTTCCATGAGGGAGGGGGAAGAGAGTCAAATTATTCTCTGCCGCTGAGCCAGTGAAGAACTATGAGGATGTAAGGGTCCTCCTGTGCCACTATGTTACAGTAGCTTGACTGGCCTCTGCTAAAAGCCAGACGTTTAGTGGTCCCATGCTGTGGAACACTCTTCCAGCAAAAATTGGACAGGCACCCTCAGTTTTGATTTTCAGGTTTCTATTGAAGCCAGTTTTATGTCGACAAGCCTATTCAATTTTTTGCTCAGACAGTCATTGTAAATCATTTTGCACTATTTTATTGTATATGCTATTGCGCAGTGCCATGTTATATTGTATGAATCGGTGCCATAAAAATAATTTCATCAATAAAATCTTGTGTGACTAGCAATATTAGGCCCCCAAAGGTCTGCATTTATATTTCTGAGATGGGAAATAATAGTTGCAGTGACATTAATGTGATGAATTCAACTGCCCATAAAAGAGGATTCAAGCAGCCAGCACAGATACTTCAAAACATTACTGCTTTTAATTTAAACTTTTCTTTCAGTGACTGCTTCAGCATTCATAGCCCTTCAGTTTTTAATGTCTTCAATAAATATTACACACCCCTTAAGCTACAAACTATAACAGTGAGTTTTGTTAATTAAAAAAAACCTCTTTAGGTATATTACTTTAATAATTGTGGGTGTTGCCTCGTCACTATTCATAAATTAGTCCTGGAAAAATTAATGGAAAAGCATTCATAGGCAGTAGGTAGGCTAAATGTCTTACTCCAGTATATAGGCATAAAACAATAGAACAGTTTCCAGGCAAGGCAGCTGATCAGACGCTTCATAATATTGTTCTGTGAGCTGCACTGTAAAACCCCTGCCTTGGTATGAAGAGCATCATAAAGGAAGGGAGGAGGAAAAGGGGAGAGACATATATCGAGGGACATATATCTTTTATCCTTCTTACAGGTACTTGGTGGCCAGACAACTGAGTTATTTGCCTGTCTCAAAATGTATTATTACTACTACTACTACTACCACCACCTGGTATTGCTGTGTTTTAGTTTCACTGTTTGAGATACTGATTGTATATACACTAGCATATAACTATAGCATATAACAAATGCTATTTATTTGAAAGCTGTTTAGAGACTGTTCTGGTATTAAGCAGTAAATCAATATATAAAGTGAAACGAAATGAAGTATGTGTTCATACTGAAACCACAAACCAATTCAGTTATCAGTATTTGATAAAATGTTCAAACTAGTCTGCAAAGCAGGGAAGTATGAAAGCTTTAGCCATTGTTAGCTGAGTTTTGCCATATTAGTTAGATCAATTGGCTTAAAAATATGTGGTTCCCTGATTAATCAGCCAGGAGATTTATTTTTGGGGGGTGGGGGTGGTCTTATTTGTTACGGGCATACTCAGTGCTATTTTTCTAGAAAACGAGGTGCTGGAACTCACCATGAACACATCCCTCGTTCTCTTAGAATGGCAGTGGTGCCCACCGGACAAGTGCCGGAAGTGAGTTCCGGGGAGTTCTGGCTAAAAAAGCCCAGGAAATAGTTCTAAAAAGATTCTTTCTTTCCTCACAGGGGAGGGAATGACTTTTGTAAAACAATATCTTGTCAGTGTTTGTAAAAAGCAAAAAAAAAAAAAGAAGGAAAGGGTTCTGACCTCCCTTTGTCTCCTCAACCTGGTCCTCGGACCCTTGTCGGCACAAAAGAGTCCACGAGAATATCCTTGCAGAGTTTTATTCTTAAAAGTTTTTGTGCAAAACACGACTGAATAACTATACACACCAGCACTACCCAAGCAACCAACCCAAACACCAGCCTCAGCAACAAACTAACATTTCTCACTTATATATACAACTTGGTGCAGACTGCTGAGTCATGCTGACCCAGCTTTATTCGCATTAAAGAAACAGCGGCCATTTTAGCCGTGACATATCTGATCCAACACATGTGCTTCATCTAAAAAAGAAAAGGGAGGAGGTTTCTATCCAGTGTTAGTCATGCTCAGAGTAGACCTACTGGAGCTTTGGAAATGACTAAATTAGGTCCATTAATATCAGTGGATCTACCCTGTGCATAACTTCCTTAGATACAATCCCCATACCCCAATTATTCCTTTTGCTTCAAAGCAATTTTTACTCATGTGCATATTTATTTAAATCTAATTGAGTGGTTAATCAGCTAAAACACAAATTATTGATCAATTAGGCTTCCTTTAAATGGGTGGCAACGGTAGTTATTAAAATATAGGTGACCTTGTTCAAAGCAGATATAAGAGGAATTTCAAAATAAACAAAATACGCAGGGTGCATCATGGTTATAGAAGTCGTCCATTGCATCAAACAAATATAGGCCCAGTCCTCACTTGACATTAAACCAAAACAAACTTTGTGTGAGCATGCAGGTTCTCAGAGGAGCTTATGGCCACTATGCAGGTTCTCAGGATGGTCCTCCTGGTCTCATGCTGGTTGGGGCTAAGCCACAGAGGACCATGGAAGAATGCAGAGCTCTTGATCTCTGGGAAGCCATGTGTTCACCTGGGAACCTTTTTCAACTTGAGGGGTACACTGCCTTCTTGGGGCCACATGCCAGTAAGTGCATGGAGCAACTATTATTTTTGCATATGGCAGGTTAGTTTCTCCACACACTCACACACCCCTCTCTATCCCCCACTCAGGTAAGTAAGAGTCATTATCAGAGTTCAATTATACATTCTAGCCAGGCAAAACCACTCAAGGAGAGCGCATACCAATGCTGGAACATGAGGAGAGTCCCTAAAAACTCTGCTCCCATTCACATAAAAACTGAAGTCTAGGCTCTCCCTAAGCATACAGTTGATGAGTTGTAAATTCCAAGAGAACCAGTTAATCTCAGATGGAGGTAGCTGAAGATAGAAAGTTATTTCTGAGTAAGCAATCTGAGATGATGTTGGGTTAGGCTAGATAAAGGGCAGGCAGGGAGATAGACTAATGAGCGCAGGAGGCTTCTAAAGCAGTACATTACAAGGCGCTGTGTCACTGGTTCCTGCCCCAGAGCTCCTGCTACCAGCTATCTTCTGCATCCCAGACACCTGCTTGGATTTCACTCAAAAGCAGCAGGCACCTGGCTTCATTCATTCATTCAGGCAGACAGTCAATTAATATAGTGCCTTTTAGCAAGGGGTGGAGGGAGTCCCTCCCAAGGCAACTTACAGAAATGGAAAAACAAGCCCAATTATGTAGATACAACTGAAGCAATCCTAAAACTCAAAGAGGAAACGTAAGCATCCAACAGCCAGCATGTACAGCACACATTAATAAAACAATGAACAAAGTAGAAAAGCTGTTAAGGATGTTCCCAAAGCCATATGTATATCTAAGGTGGGAGGGCATCCAGAAATGTGGGGTTGCCACTGAGAAGGTGGCAATCTGATAGACCTTGATGTTGGGCTAGAAAGCAGGACCTTCAAGGCTAGTTTGGGGGACTGGGGAGGGTCATAATAGATGCAGGCAATCCTTCAGATAACCTGATCCAAACCAATTCAAGGCTTCAGGAAGTATTGGTGTAATATGATCAGTAAGCTTGAACTGCCCCCCTCCCACAAGCATTCTGGCAGCTACATTCTGTACCAGTTTAAGTTTCTGAATAGTTTTTAAAGGCAGCCATATGTAGGACTACAGTATTCCAGTCTTGGTGACATATGCTTATAGTTCCCTCTTTGAGTCAGCAGATTTGGTAGCACAGGGAGTAGAGAATCTGGCAGCCAAGACTGCTCCATTTCAGACCCATGTACATAGGTGACGTCACCTAAGTTTGTGTCCCGAACCTGTGCCAGTAACAATGGTAAAAATATGGAAAAGCAACTGTAAACCATTAGAGCTTCTGGAGATATTTACAGCAAGTTTCCACCTGAAAAGCAATAGAGAGACAAGGAGAAACAGGAGAAACAAACAGTGAAGCAAGTCCTTTCTTGTTCCCTTAGAAATAGATGCTACAATACTATACTATACTATACTATACTATACTATACTATACTATACAATAGAGACTACAGAAACTATACTACAAGAAAACTAATTCAATCAATAGGGCCACCAAGGCTACAATCAGTAGACATTTCCTTGGAACTCATTCAACTCAATGGGATTAATTTCTGAATAAACACCCAGAGGATTGGGCCACACAGTTATCTAGACCACAAACAGAATCAAGTGGACTCCCTGTTTGTTTAATGGATTATTACACTGCCATCCGCACTGCCATCAGTAGAGAATACGCTTGAGCAAACATATTTATGCTGATCTAATCTTTGTATGCCACTTTCGTTCCTTGGGAATTCTAGCAAGAAGCAAAAATTAAGTCCTTTCATCAGCATTTCTACCTTGCCTTAGTGCTTGTGCCAAAGAAAAGCAGTATTCTTTACCTTGGTGGTTCTTGTAAACATGGAAGATTTTGAACATTTTACTGGTGGAAATGGGTCATGTGGAAATGGGAAGGAGATGGACAAGCCAACTAACAAATGTTTGTTATTAGGAAACTTGCAACTATCAATGTAGTTTGTAGGTGGAGCCAGAGCCAGTGATACGTGCAGCCAACTAATTATAGGTTTGTTCCCATCTTTCTTCCTGCTGAGTTCTACAAGGGCAAAACTGAGACCGAGGAGGACAAAGTTTGCAGCCAGCTTAACTGGTTGTAAAAAGGTAGGCAGGTGGGGGCTGGTCATGGGTAAACTCAGGTTGGTGAGGAAGTGCCCTGTCATCCTTAATGGACATGCCCCTCCCCCCGCCCACCAACACTGGTAGTTGAAATCCAACAGCATCTCAAAGGCACCACGTTGGCTATCACTGCCCTAAAGAATACTCCTGCTCTGTGCAGGCATATAGTTTCATGGATCCCTATCCTTCTGGCTCATTCCTTTGCTTCTCCTTCCAAGTCCTGAGCCTCATACCAGTATCATACCTGAGCATTATACCTAAGTGGTTAAACGATGAGCAGAGAAGGAATTGCTTTAGAAAATCAGCACTCCTTCCCTGCACTGCTAACGAAGTGGGCTCTTAGATCTGAGTCAAACGCAGGACTTTCTTTACACGAAGAATATACCCATTTTCTTCCCACATTATTTTTGTTCTGCTGTGATCACAAAGGTCTGACCAAAATGTTATTAAAACCAAGTATTCTTTCTTAAGTAAACCGTGAATTTAAGACATCAAGCCCATCAAAAGGGCCTGAGTTATTTGACACCTCCCACATTGTAATAGAATTCTAAGTCTGGCGTGTAAAATAAATGCAGAATTCAAATGCATAGTGGTTTGGTTTTTCTCAGAAGCATGTAAAACAGTGCAAAATCTACTGGGTTTATTTCCAAATATGAGTGCAATTGGATTACAGCTTATGTATTCATTTTATTTAGCCCATTACAAAATCCTATCTAATCTTTATCCCTTATTTTCTTCACAAGAGTTTAGGTCAATGCATGTTATTTCCCCCCTTTTATTCTGACAACAGCCCTGTAGTGTAGGTTAGGCTGAGAGAGAGTGACTGGCCCAAGGTTCCCCTTCCCCCCGCCCCATATGCTTTGTAACTGAGCAGAGATTTGAATCTATTTCTCACTGATCTAGGCCCTGTTTCACAGTAAGCACTTTACCACGTTGACTCCTATAATCATGGAATAACTTCAGCTGCTTTAACTGCAATAGATAGAGGTTCAGCATAATGCAAATGCTTGTTTGGATCCAGAGAGTCCCTGAGTAGAGTTCTACTCGTGGAAATCTCCTGCCGGGGGGCTGGGAGACAGATTTTCCCCAATGTCCCCTACAGCCTCTGCACCCTTGCAAATCTGCTCTTGAAGGTTTGAGGACCCTCTAGAACAGCATCTGAGTTGGCTGGGGCAGGAGGCTGAAGGGGAATCGCTGAATTGTTTCCCCTTTCACAAGCAAGAGCCTCTCTGCTGGATAAAAACACTTGCAGAGCATGAAAGGACTACTTTGGAGCCAGGTTGTGTCTTCATATATCTGACTAAAATGGCCAGTGCTTGAATTACCGGGGGGGGGGGGAGAGCTACTGTTTTTACAAACCTATGGGGCGCCATCATTTGGCCAAAATTGGGGAAATGTGGAAAGGCAGGCTTTGTAGATTTCAGTAAGTCCCCGGTCACACAGAGACATCCTGTTGCTTTGTATATGTTTAGGACTGAAAGTAATCTGCACACAGAATGCACACTCTTCAATGCCAGTTCTACCCAAGGCTAAATTGCAATTATATATTTTGCAATCTACATGCATCCTGTTACAAATGGATGTGTTTTAGCATGGCCACTTAAGTTTCATGAGTGAGAAAATAAGAGACAAGAGGAGATTAATCTGCTAGTTCAAGATGGTATGCCAGTGAAGCAGAATCAGAAACAGACCTATAGCCATTGCATTCCCATCCTGGTAACCTCTAGCCTGTAGACTGCAGTCCACCTGTAGCAACGTTGTCTCTCTGGGTGCAGGGCACATGCCAAGCACATTTATTTAGTCAAGACATTCCATTTAATGACAAGGAGCTCCCATGAAGTGATCTTGGTTCTTGTTTGTGATGAAAACAAATTAAAGCATTTGAGGTTCAACATTTTTTCTCCTTGTCATCACATGCATTAAGCTGTTGCCATTTAATTTGCTTCAGATTTCAACATTTTTGGCTTTTACTTTCCGTGTCTTTGCAGAATGCTTTTGTGCAGGAATGAACTTTCTGCAAACAGGTGGAGACAATTCCACAGACAACTTCATCTTAAATTGTTCTATAAGGTTGTTTCACACTTTTCTCAGAAACAAACCAATATTTTCCACCACCTTAACTCAGTTCTTATGGTGTAGCCAAACTAAGTTATCTGACAAGTATACGAGTATGATACTCAAGTTTTCAAACACTTGTTTGCAACAGTCGCACTTGGATTTTTTAAGGTGTACACTTAAATCATAGATGCACTCTTCAAAATGTGTGGAAGGCTCCATTTGACCTCAAAATAACTCATAACCAGTTTTTCCCCTCGCTATTATATGCATAATGAATGCTTGTCTCACCTGAGTGATTAAAGTCATCAGCATATAGCATTTTTTCAATAGCTATATAATCTACGTCATTTCTATAGGTCACAATATATAGCGTGTGGATGTGGATGTTCTTTTACGAATTTATAGCAAAACAAACAACCATTTTAATTTATGCTACTCAACAGCTTGTCCTGAAGGACATAAAAAAGTGAACAATATTCTGATCATTTCTGGAAATGATCATACAACTTTAAAAAAGTAAGGTATTTTATTAAAGGTTATAAATTATACTAAAAATATAAAAAAATACAAAGCACCTTGACTTGTAAGAAAATTCTAAATATGCCTTTGCTGGTTGAAATCTGAAGAAGTCCAAATGCTGTGTGTTTTAAATTATTTTTTAAAATGTCTCAGTTTTGGAGAAAAGCTTTGTGTAATTTATAGAGTGTCTTGAATGCGTGAGTACATTTTACATTTCAAAGTTAGGAGTATTGCCTTTGAAATGTGTTTTCCATAAATATCAATTCATTTTTATACACAACAAACATTATTTTACAAAGTTGGTGAAAGATGGAGCCGTAAAGGAAGATGAAGTCAATGACACACACTGGCTAACACACCTGCAGCCCTAATTTGGAAAAGGGACTGAGTTCTAAAACTCCAACAAGACAAAAGCAATAGTAAATATCAACATTTTAATTTATTACGCTGTCATTAACTGGAGGATTAATACCTGCAGAAAATACTGAGCACTTGGTTTAAGAGCCAATATGGATTATTCTTGAAAGCACTGTGTCACAAGCTTTCCACAATTAATCTTCTTCTGTCCCCAGAAGGTTTAAACTCCATGTAATTATAATTCTAATAAAAGCATTTATTTATTTCAGAATGATCCTATGCACACAGATTTCCAAGTAAGAGAGAGGCTCAGAGAGTTCAGCAGGGCTTACTCCTAGGTGAGTGTGCACTAAGCAGTGTGCCTAATCTCAGCATTTAGACTTTGTTAAGTCTCTCTCTGAGTTTTTCCACCAGACACCCTGACCCACTACAGATCACACCAGTGATGTGGATATGAAATTACAGTTTGGAGGAGGAGGGAAATAACAGCAACATGATATCACTAATGCTAATAACCACAAGGACTGGATTCTTTGTATCACTGAATGTTTCATCTTAAAAACGACTATAGCAACGTAGAAAGAGAGTGCTAGGGAATTGCCTTATCCAAGCGACGCTTCCCCCTTTACCAGAGGGGTGCAATGACACCACCATGAACAAGGTCACGAGTTTGTAGCAGAGATGTGTGCGGCGTGCGATGCAATTTGAAATGTCAACTCTGGTATTTGTGCATCTCGTGCAGAGTGCTGTAAGAGCACGTTAACCCAGATTATATATAAATCAAGGCAGCTACCCCAATGAAAAATTAATATCCCATTTCCCTCATTCTACTGCTCTGTAATGTACACTCTAGAAAATGGCATGGACCTGCTTACTGCAAACAAAGTCAGAGATCATAAATGGAGCTGTTGTCGCCTGCCAGTAGCAGCTCTCCTGCTGACTGATTGCAAGAGGAAGTTGTTCTTAAACAGTGATGTCACTCTGTGATCTGTCAGTCTCCATGTAGCAGCAGCAACAACAACACAACCTATAGTTCACTCCATAGGAAGCAATTCAGCAGCACTTTCCTCGCTTCATATCTCTTTCTAGAAATCAATTAACCGCATCTAATCAAGGGTCAATTTATGAAGCTCTCCCACCAAATTAACCGCCAATAATTTGATACCATGTGTGGGAGTGCAGAACTGTGCCTCTCCGTCCCTTTCAGGCCCCTCTAAGCCTTTAAATCCCAGAGGACTCACTGTAATAAAAAGCAGGTTATCCTTGAAATGTTTTCATAAAGTGATGTGTGCATATGAAGCGGTTGAGGGGACTGGAGGGAAGATGGAGAAGGATAGATGGATCCTTTGCTGTGGACTTGCTCACAGCACCAGATACCAGGGGAGTATTACTACACAGTTCCACCTCAAATCACCCACGTGCTTGGTTCCTGTGTCTTTTAAAAGATACTTGCCTTACTTGCAAGGCAAAGAGAAACTAGTTTGCTTGGATTCCACCCCGCTTACCTCTACCCCACCCCCTTTTAGCCTGGGCCTACTATGGGCAAGAAAGATCTGGGGGTCAACAGACAACGTCAAAGGATTGCCCAGATCAACCAGACCCCTACCCTAATTTGAATCCAGTGCCCAAGCTAGTGCCCAAGCACCACATCCAGTGGCCCTCTTGTGCCTCATCTTCCGGTCCCCGGTGGCATCATTCCTCCCTCACTGCCTGCCTCCCAAATCCCCCCACCTCCCCCCAATGACCCCCTCGATACCGCCCCCGTGCCCTCTCCCCCTACGGCCCTGTCAATTACCCCTGGCTTCCCATCTCCCCCATGCTTGCACCCGCCCCATGCTCCCTCTCTATTGACCCCCGTCCCTTAAAGCTCCGCTCCCCTGGGGGGATTCTTCCCCACACACACACCCAACGTCTTCTCTACAACTTAACCCCCCCCCCCCGCGCGCGCGCTCCGTCCAAGGATCCTCCTCCCTTCTTCCCTCACCTGTCGGAAGGGGTGGGATGGAGGAGGGTGGCTGAAATGACCCTCGGCGCGCAGAGCCCCTTCCCCGCGCCCCTCCCGCGTACCGTCTGAAGCCCTGGAAGGACGAGGGCCAGGACATCCTGGATTTCTTCAGGCCGGGCCGGTGGCCGGTCTCCAGGGCGAAGGACGCGCGGTCCATGGCGCGGCTGTACAGGTAGCGCTCCGTGTCCGAATAGCCCCGGTGCCTCACTCTGCCGCCGCCGCCGCTGCCCCCGACGACGCGACCCCGGGCGGCTGTAGGGAGAGGAGGGGCAGGCGGCGGCGGCAGCGGCGCGGGAGGCGGCGGCGGCGGGCACTGGGGCGCCTGCGGCTGGTGCACGAGGAAGTGGTGCTGCTGGCGGAGCTGGTAGCGGCAGTGGTGCTCGTGGCGCCACAAATGCTTGGGCGCCGCCGGGCTCCCGTCGCCGGGGCCGCCGCTGCCGGGCTCCGCCGCTTCGACCAGGCTGGGGCGGCTCTCCTCAGCCTCCATGCTGGGGCCGCCGCCGCCGACGGGGCAAAAGGCGAACAGAAGCGCGGCGCACCCGCTGTCCTTGCCGCTTGCCGAGCTGCAGACGCGCTCCTTCGCTGCTCGCCGGGCGCGCTCGCTAAGCAACGGCGGCGGGGCTGCCTGCCTGCGCGCCTGCCCTCGCCTCGCCTCGCCTGCTCAAGCCCGCCTTGCGCCACTACCGGGCTGCTGCTGCTGCTGCTGCTGAAAAGTTGGACAGCTCCCTGCGCCGGCTGCTGCCAGGCGGCGGGGAAAGGCACTCCCTCGGCGTCTGCTCGCCAACTCGGCCGCTAGGCGACGACGTTGCCTGGCCTTAGGGCTGCCACTTGCCCAAAGGGCGGAGGCGGCGGCAGCCTGCGCGAACCGAGAGCCCCGGAGGAGGAAGGCAGAGCAGCGCCCGGCTGCAGCCAGGGAAGCAGCCGCCGCCGCCGTAGCAGCCGGCATAGACCGGAGTGGGCGCCTGGGGCTGAGCAGCGTGGACGCGCGGCGGCCGAGACTGCTGCGCTGACCTAAGCGGAGTTCTCCTCTAGCTCCATCGCCTCCAATCGCGTCTCCTCCGCCTCTCCGAGCTCCCGGGAGATGGGCTTCTCGCTGCCTTTCTCCGCTCGCCTCCCCGTGGCTGCCATACGGTCACTTCTCGTTTTTAGACAGACCCACCCCGCTCTCTCGCTCTCTCTCCACCCCCCCCCTCAAGAAGTCACTTTGGGTGGCAAAGTTGCACAAAGTCGACGTCGCTGCGAAAGGGAGTCTGGGTTTAAGGAGGGGTGTGTGGAGAAACAGGGAGCCGAAAGCTGTCCCATTTCCTCTTCTGCCTATCCATATATTTGGGGAACTATTTCTCTCTCTCTTTGCAATCGAAACGGGGAGGGAGGCAGAGGTCCTCCGTGCACCAGCGTTCTCCAAAGTGCTCCACTTAAGGCTTGAAATATTAAGCTGCTCCTCTCCCCCAGCCCTTCCTCTCCCCGCCTTTCTCTAAGTACTCCTGGCTGCGAATTAACACCGCGGAGCTTTAATTATAACGAGTTCTGCGTCTTCCGTTACGAATAAAGGATAGGTCAAGCTCTTCCATTATTATGAACCACCAGTTTCAGGAGTTTGTGAATGCCGGGGAAAATGCCTTTGAGCGGCTGATTCTCTGTGCGTGACAAAAATAAAATAAAAAATGATTCCACTGTTTAAAAACAGACCCGGCTAATCAAAGTGGATTTTATTTTAAGCAGTAAAATGCTACAATTCTAAAATAAACTCATAGTACTAGGCGAGAGAGGTCTCCTTTAGGGAGCAGCAGCTGTGAACAGTGGCGTAGCATGGGTTGTCAGCACCCGGGGCAAGGCAAGTAATTTGCGCCCCCTAACCCGTGGATTTTAGCAGGGGGCAGAGAGCTGCAAGTGCGAGCGCCCCCCCCCAGATGTTGTGCCCGGTGCGGCCGGCCCCCCCTGCACCCCCCACGCTACGCCGCTGGCTGTGAATCCTCTTCTCTGTGTTTCAGATTATCTGCGATGAGAGCATCTAGATCCCAGGTTATTATGAGGGATAGGAACAAGATCAACACAAAAGCGTCTGAAATGCCGTTTTTCTTGTCTGTCTCTAAAAACAAACAAAAAAACCCACCACCTCAAAAAAATAATAATCACAAACTTGAATCTATCCAAATAATAGATTTGACCCTAAATGTGAATTTGTGTCTCCGGCTCAGGAAGCTATTCAGACACATGATTAAACCAGTTCATGCAATGATTACATCCACATAAACCAATATTGCACAGAAGAAGAGTTTTGCTGAACCTGGCCAAAGACTCATCTAGACCAGCCTAGGGTAGTCTTCACCAATGATGTTTTGGACCACCACTTCCATTAGCCCCAGCATGCAGAAAGTACTACCATATTTGGAAGTGGTTCTATTTCACTTTCAAATGGATGGGCACTTCACTATTAGAGGGTTACTGAGGTGAGCCTGCCATCTTTCTTTTTCACAAATGTGCTCCAGTCAAGTGACCCATGCTTTGCACACAGCTGGAATGCTACCCTAATGTTTTGGTTCTGTGCCCAGAAAATGCTAAAATCTTCATATCCTGCATCTGGGGCTTCATGCATGTTTTCCAAGAGACATAACAAGATATGAAGACTTAGAGCTTTGCAAATGAATTAAAAATTAGGAAGTCACTGGTCCAGATGGCACCCACCCAAGCTTTGTTAAATAACTCAAATATAAAATTCCTGATCTTCCCAATTAAAATATGCAACTTGTCCCTAAACTTGGCCTTTTTCCTAGACAACTGGAAATTAGCCAATACAATGCCAGTTTTTGGGTTTTTTAACTGCATGCAGAAGGATCAAGAAAAATATAGGGCAACCGCTTAGCGTCTAAATAAAGTGGTGAACAGCATTATTACAGATAGAATTATTAAGCATATAGAAGAACAAGTTTTCTGAGGAAGACACAGCATGGCTTCTGGAAAAGGAAGTCCTGCCTCACCAGCCTTTTGGAGTTCCTTTAAAGTGTCATCAAGTATGTGGATGGGGTAATTTGGTAAACAAGAGATGGGAAGTCTTCATTATTATTATTATTATTATTATTATTATTAAATTAATTAAATGTATATACTGCCCTTCATCAAAAGATCTCAGGGTGGTTCAGAGAATAAAATACAAGATAAAACACAAGTAAATACTTGGATCACAGCCAATCCAGCAGGGTTGAAATGACTGCCCAACACAAGATGAGCAGCGACTTCAACTCTACTCATCTACAGGGATTGTCTACACCAGGGTTTCCCAAACTTCGGTCTCCTGATCACTGGTCCTGCTAGTTAGGGATAGTGGGAGTTGTAGTCCAAAAACAGCTGGAGACCCAAGTTTGGGAAACCTTGGTATACATGATCAAGTTTTGCATGGGAAGCTCAGTTGTGCAGCCAATCTATATGCATCCCTATCTGCCCCTCACCTGATATCAGGTGTAGAGTAGCCATGGTTGGGGAAAATGGCCTTGTGGGCCAAATTAGGACATGTGATGGGCCAACTTTGGACCACAGAGTGGAGCTTCCCAACCACCGTCAGCAAGGGTTCCTGAGAAACTTAACACATTGAATCAGAAGGCACAAGTAATTGATTAAACAAGAGGAAGCAGAGAATAGGAATCCATGAAAAATTCTTGAAACAGAGGGAAGTAAGCCATGGGGTCCCCCTGAGACTTTACATAGTATTCAGTGCTGTTTAACTTGTTCATAAGTGATCCAGAGTTAGTGATGACCATCGTGGTAACCAAATTTATAGATAATACCCAGTTATTCTAGAAATGGAAAACTCAGGCAGAGTGTGAAGAGTGCCAAAGGGATCACTCCAAGTGGTGGATGAGCAACAAGAAGTGGAACATGGCTCAGTGTAAATAAATGCAAAGTAATCACACAACGGCAGAGAATTCAAAGTTCACATATACATTGATGAAATCTGAGCTTGTGGATTAACCCAGGAAAGAGATGTTGAGGCTGATGGTTCAATGAAAACACCAGCCTAGTATATGGCAACTGAGAAAGAGATAAAACCCACACTAGAGAAAAGTACTGAAAATTCAGCCTCCAGTATTGCAATGCCTTTCTACAAACCTATTGTGCAGCCACATTTTGAATACTGTGCACAGTATCCCCCCTCCATCTCAAAAAGAGTATTGTAGAAATGGGAAAGGTGCAGGAAAGGCTAACTAAAATTAACAGAGGCTATAACAAAAGGTGGGCAGGTGGAATGGGAGGGGCAGTTATCAGGTGGGAACACCCATGGCAGGGCCACCCACTCCCTGAGCCAACAGATGCAGTCACTACCAGTGCAATCCTATGCAGGTTTACTAAAAAGTAAATCTTGCTGTGTTCAATGGGGCTTACTCTCAGCTAAGTCTGGACAGACTTTCAGCCTAGATCAAAGTCCTTGAAGTTTCCAATACACTTTCAATGGACCTCATTTTGCTAAGGAATTGAATGAGTTCTTGAATGAGTTCTTGACTAAGGCCCAGTTCCTACTAAACCACACAGTGTGGTTGATGTTTTCTTATGGTTGCTTCCTACACCTCTCTGGCAGCATCAGACTGGAGGAACTACATCAGAGGGATAGGATCATATGGGAAGAACTAAATGGTTTCTAATGCTGATGTAATCCCTCCAATGTCATCCTGCCCTGCCCTGCCCTTCCATATTGTTCTTCTATTCCTGTGTTACCTGAGTGGGAGTACAATGGGACACAGCTCCAGGAAAGTGGTAGCCACACTGCTCTGGTAATGTGGGATCTAAATCTTAGCCAGTCTCATTTAAGAACAATTCCTTTATATAATGAGCTCTCTAAAGTCTATGGTATATTTATTGAAAACTTCAGACAAACCAGCCCTGTGTTTTGCAGTTGCACAGTTTTCACACAGTATCTGGTTTACAGCAGCAGCATCCTTCTTCTGAAAGTGGAAAAAGAATTCAGCAGATAATCGCTACAGAAATACACTGGAAACATGAATGAATAAACAGAAGAAAGCAAGGCTTTTAAATCACGGAGGCCTGATTAAGAATAAAAGATGCAGATACATTTGAAAACCACATGTCGTAAGAGAGAGAGGACAGTCTTACCAAAGCAGACAAATACTGCAGCATAAATTTAAATAAAGCATTTATCGTCCATTTCAAACAAAGGGGCAATGTAAGATAAGGCTAACATTAATTTGTCAACTTCAACATGCTTTCTGAAGTCATATAGAGTGGTAGGGAGAAAAAAAATAACACTGAAGATTCTCTGAATGCCCTACATGATTACACAATTTACAGACCGATCCTATGCATGCATGCTTGGAAATAAAACTCACTGACTTTAATGGGGCCTTCTCCCAAGTAAATGTGCTATTGAAGCCCCATTCACTTTTCCTCTAGTCAGCTGCTTAATGATAAAATCAAAACATGGTGATTTAAAGAGAGTTAACCTTTTTCCCATGACATTTTTTTCTGATTTAGGCTGCAATCCTATGCACATTTACCAGGGAGTAAATCTCACTGATCACAATGGGATTTACTTCTGTGTAGATACATTGTGCTTGTGCTGCAAATTACCCTGTTCCCAAAAGCCATTACTTGCCCCATTAGAGAAAAGTGTATCCATACATTTTCCCTAATATGGCAAACCGCAGCTTCGGGAAAGGAAAGTTATGGGATCTTTCATCAGGAAAACAACAATGGGAAGAAGAGGCAAAGCTCTTCCCCCAAATGCAATCTCAGCCCTAGGTCCCTCTTCTCCCATGATTCTTTTATACAGAAATGTGATAGATCACTTTTTCTCATTAAAAACCCTACACATTTTACAGCTTTTTCTTAGAAACAAATTTGTGTTAACCAGATTTGGCTCAGTTTCAAACTGTACAACATGTATGTGCTTTCTGAAATCCTTCACATTCTTTAATAATAATTCTTTAATCAATACATTCCCAGTTGAGAAGGATCACTTCAGATTGGAGAGACACAGAGGATCTGATAAAAGAAAACTACAGGATCAACCCAAGTTATATTAAAATATCTCCACAGAGAACAGCTGACAGAGAAAGTAATATGTAATGCCTTAAAATAAACCCAATTCAGCTAGTTCCACCAAAAGCCATTCAATATTATTCCAGGGAAAGGCAAAACCTGCATCCTGATCTAGCTCAGAAGCCCTGTGCAATCCCATACACAATGCAAGTGAATTCATATGCTATGTGAGCCACGCAGCCTTTGCAGTTTTCGCATTTCCATAATGTTTGTAACGGAGATATTATACAAATAACACGCAAAAGATGCATGGTTATCTTCTTACACCTAATGGGCTGTATCTTATTTTTCTAACCAGCTGTCTCCTTTTTCCGTGCTGCAAATCAAAGTGCACTTGTAAACTCAGAGGCGCTTTCAAACCTACTTGCAATGCTTCTTATGTAAGAAAAGAAAAAAGAATCAAAGGGGAAAACAAATGCTTTCTACAACAATACCAGTTTTGTTTACATGCCCTGATCATTTTACAGGCCTACACAACTTGCAATCCATTAAGCAGAATGCAGCCAATATCTTTATGTCTCTATGTCTTCATATGTCCCTATAAGCAGTGAGTCCTGCACTGCAGGGGGATGAACTAGATCAGGCATAGGCAAACTACGGCCCTCTAGATGTTTGGGACTACAATTCCCATCATCCCTGACCACTGGTCCTGTTAGCTAGGGATGATGGGAATTGTAGTCCCAACATCTGGAGGGCCGGAGTTTGCCTATGCCTTGACTAGATGACCTTGATGAACCTTCCAGCTCCACAATTCCTTGATTCTATATATCTTATAGACAAATTTGTGGAGGACAAGCCTATCACATGGCTACTGGCCATGATCGCTATGTTCCACCTCCACTGTTAGAGGCATCATGCCTCTGAATACCACTTGCTGGGAGTCACAGGTGTGCAGAGTACTGTTGTATTCATGTCCAGCTGGCAGGTTTGCACAGGCATCTGGTTGGCCACTGTGAGAATAGGATTCTGGACTAGATGGGCTACTGGCCTGATCCAGAAAGCTCATATTATTTTATGGTGGCTCAGCAGAGTTTGGAAAATTCATGTTTTGTGCCTGCCCACGACTGCAAGAGCAGATGTCAAGTGCCTGGAAGGCCATAGTACATGGCTGATAATAAAGATGACTGACTGTGATTTTTGCAATCTTAAGTTCAAGTTGCCCCCTTTCTGCATCAATTTGTGTGTGTGTTTTTTTAAAAAAAATCCAGACGAAAATTCATACATGTTATGCACATTTCTAACAAAACACACTTCTATATGTTATCTCCATGGATATATTTTCTGTGTATGCAATTTCCCTTAACATATGTGATTTTGTGCCATTTTTTGGCTGAAGAACTGCACTGAGTATCAAAGGCTGGCTATGCTTCAGTTTGCTCGTTGTTCCAGGAAATAAAATTTGGTAGGTTCACATTAGCTTGCCAATTGAACACATCCCTCCCCCATTCCTAGGTGGTAAGACTACATTTGGCTTAGAGAATCATAAAGAGGGCGGCATCTTCACTTGGCACCTCAGACAGCTGTATTCATTACTGCAGGCAATCACTTTGGCCTGTTCCTACCCTCCATTTCATCTGCTGGCAGTAGCCAAGTCTGAGAAACTGTGGGAAAGTTGAAATGGTTGGTGGCAACCCATTCTCAGCTGTGAAAAAGACCACAGATGTGGGTGGACACACTCATGGGGGGCACTAGAATGCACTATCAGGACTCCACTCAAACTTGGAGCCAAGCCTGTTCATAATTTGTGTTGACTCTGCCTAATACAACTACAGTAGTGTTCACAGAAGATGGATTCTCCAGACTTTTTTTTTTTTTTTTTTAAATGGTAATCTGGATTTGAAACTGTTCTTGTGTTTGTTTTCTGTGTAGCATCAGTGTTCTCAGCTGAAAATGTTAGATGTCTCAAGCAAAAATAATTGTGGATCTCATTCATCAGACAAATTATTCGAATCTCATCGGTACCGCCCACTGGAGCAAAGCTGGAGTTGTGATAGCTTTCAAAGCAAGAGAAAAATGATTTGCATATTGTGTCTCAAGGACAAAAAGGCAGTGAAGGGGCAGGCAGAGGTAGGTGTGTGTGTGTGTGTGTGTGTGTGTGTGTGTGTGTAAGCAACACGGATCAAACTGTTCATTGTAAAAAAGAAAGGGATGATGACAAAAATAGCAGTTGTCAGAAGGCACACAAAAGATTTGCTCCTCCCAAAATGTTTTGAATAGCGCACTGTCTAAGGGGTCATAAAAATAGCTGAGGGGAAGGGGGTGTCTAAGTTTCCTTGATGAATAATTAGAGCCCCAGATGGCTGTCCTTCTTAATTGTAGTCAGGATGTGAAATTGTCTTTGGATTAATTTACACTTTCAAATCTGTCTTTGAAAGGCAATAGACAAAAATCATGAAAGCTGAAGTTCTGCTGACATTTCTAATATTAGTAGAACTCTCTACTACTGACATCCTTCCTCCCATTCCCCCACACTCTATGCATCAGGGACCGGCAACTTCAGATGTTGCTGAACTTGGAAGTTCATGTTGAGAACTGGAGTCCAAAAACACCTGTAGGGCGACCCTTTACCTGTGCCTGCTACACATGATGTTGTAGAGTGACTTGCCTAATCCTATATAAGTCCCAGTTTCATTTAAAGGAGTTATTTTCTCGTGGTCCCCAACACAGATTTGGAATGATGAATTTTGCACCTTGTTCCTTCCAGCGCTAGTCTTTCCTTTTACCACTTTAGGGAAAGAAAATACATGCTAATTAAAGTGTTTATGTCTGTTCTGCAGCACATTCCTAACAACGTTTAGTTAGAAGTAAGTCCTATTGAATTCAATGGGGCTTAGTCGCAAGACTTTAAAATGCCCATACCCTCTATTTCTCGACCTGGCAAGGTTCTGTTGTAGAGGACCCCACTGCCTTTCTGGCTGTTGAGACACAACACACACGGTTTGTAAAGAAAAGGATGTGGTCCAGCCCTTTTGTATGTTTAACCAAAGAGCAAGTCCCATTTCGTTCCTCTCACCTTATGTGTGTAGGCTTGCAGCCATAGCTGGGCTGTTGCAGAGTGGGGGGAAAGGAGATAATGAAGACTGGTGAAGTTAAAAGCCAACAGAGAAGTCCATGAGAGGTCTGGAGGGTGGCAACATGAGAGCAGGCCTTTTCTGCAGTGGCTCCCTGTTTGTGAAATGGGAGGTTCACCTGGCGCCTTCACTACATTCATATCTTTAGGTGCCAGGCAAAAACTCTCCTCTATATCCAGGCTTTGGGCTTTAACTATCTGTGGCCTTTTAGAAGTGGGCAGGGTGTTTTTAATGTATTTCTCTCTCCCCTTGGTTTGACTGTATCTGTGTGGGGTTAATTGTTTGTTTGTTTGTTTGTTTGTTTGTTTGTAAGCTGCTTTGGGTTGCCCTAGGCAAGATAAAGCAACTGACAAATCTAATAAATAATAAAATAATAAGTACATGGGGTTAGAATTACAGCCTTAATGGAACATAGGAAGCTGCCTTACATCAAATCAGACCAGTGATCAATATAACTCAGCATTGTCTATGCTGACCAGCAGTGGCTCTCCAGGGTTTTGGACAGGATTGTCTCCCAGCCCTAATTGGAGACCAGGAAATGCCAGGGATTGAACCTGGGACCTTCTGCATGCAAAGGAGATGTTCTACCACTGAGCTACACGCCCTCCCCTATATATAAAATTAGGGCTTGGTGAAAATGGTGATGGGATGTTCTAATGGAAAACTTACCTGCTACAAAACATGTTCAGGGAGGAGCTATATGGGATGAATGTGTTCTCTGAGTCAAACTGAGGGCAGGTAGCATTGCCCTCACTCTTATATAGCTTTGTGTTGTGTGTTGTTTCATACAGCCAAGTCTGGCTAGGATACATGCTGAATCACCATGCTGCTTGGCTACATGATTCCTAACTGGCTGGATGCAATAGTCAATGAATTATAATTGGCTTTGTTGGAATCATTCTTCTTGAGATCAGAATGTGTTTGGATGTGTGCATGTGTGTAGATTTGGGTGCTATTTTGCAACTAAAAAAGGGAGGTTCCCACCATGATAAAAAACAAATTTCCTCCCAAATCATTCTGTGAAGTTTTAGAAGACCAAGTCAATAACTTTGGTAAAGTGCTTTATAAGTTACATAAATCATGTAACAGTACATGTTAAATGTCAACATATATTTCCCTTGGGGTCCCTTCCAACTCTACAGTTGTATTATTCCTTGCTATCATAATTGTTCTGTACTGAGCATACAGCTCTTGCTGAACAGGCATACAGAGTTCCAATGTGATTTCAAGTCTGTGAGAATCCAGATACTCACATCAATGAGATTCTTCCCTTTCTGTTGTACCATGTTTATTCTCTCTGAACTACATTACAGCAAATACTTTTATTGGACATCCCTAAATGCAATTATTCTGAATTTAAAATGGAAACTTCATAATTATTGCTATTGCTTCTAACAGAACTTCCATGCTAATGCTTATGCATTTACTCAAGTGCTCATTAAAACATATTACGGCATTATGCACTAATGGTCTAATGTAGTTCCTAGACAACCCCATCATTTCCTTGCATTTTATACGTATGGTACTCTGAAAGGTCCCTGCAATATTTTCCTGGAAATGCTCTTTAATAGGTCTACATGGGCTTAAATGTGAGGAGCAATATACAGAAATAATAAATATACTGTAATTAAACCAGAAAATAGAAGGACTTGGTGTTTATGTATCTGTCATCATTTATAGGAACTCTAGGAAATAAACTCTATGTCACCTGGCTACCTTAATTGTCTCTACACAGTCCTCATGGTTTGAATTGATAAGTTGCCTGCTTATTGCATTCAGGTGCTGATGGTAATGAGTAACCTGGTAGTGAAGGGAAATGTGTTGGGAATAAAATGAACCCACCATGTTGGTTTGTTTACTGAGTGCAGGATTAAGATTAAGTAGCTGGGATAAACCTGGCAATTTAACATGAAAGGCAATTTTGTGAGTTACCATTTGAACAACATGTAAGAGAGAGTGTTCGGTGTGTTTGATTGAATCAGAGGCTATAGCAAGGCAGATCTGAGTCAAGGGCTATCTTCCTAGCTTAGGAAACCTGCAGCCTTTTAGATGTTGCTGGTGGACTCCAACTACCATCTTCCCCAGCAGCATGGCAAATGCTCAGAGATAGTGGAAGATGGGGCCCAGCAATATATGGAGTAAGGATGAACTGATCAGTACAAAAATTCAGAATCTAAAAATATATAATTTATTTAAATGTACACCTTCTGAATTTTATTTGTAATGTGTATGTTCTACGATCCAATAACTGTCTCATAAAATTCTAAGGAGTGTGAAATCTGAAGGATTTTCAATATGTGCAGTAGTGCTGCAAATGAGAATTAAGTCAATTCACATAAAGATGAAGACCAAATGCGATTCTTCCCCATCCTTGGAGGGGCACAGGTTTCCCATCTGCCCTAGATGTCCAAGTTGCGGAAAATGCAAGGAAAACTGCCCTGGCAAATCTGCTGGTCTACCAAATATGGAAGGCAGCCCCACACAGAATACATGCTTCCATAATATGAAAAATAAAGGAACTACCAGAAGTAAATTAAAAATTTAAAGGTAGGATTTAAAGTAGGCAAGTGGACCAAATGCACATCAATCAAGCCATCTTTTCCTGCTCATCAAAAGTGAACACGTTAAAGACACCGGTTGGGCCCTTTAGAAAAGCAACTCTTACAAAGTCTCGAACCCTAGAAAAATATTACAAAGTTTTAAATAAATATTTTCTTTCTCACATCAGTTGTAACTCAAGCCTACTTTCAACATGGACTAGATCAATATATCTGACACAATAAATCTTAAAATAATTTTCTGTCTTTTTAATTATGAAACCATTTTCAATATAGCCATTTAAAAGGAGAACCTGCCCCTACCACAAGATTCCTTTGGATTCAGAATTACTCTCTGAGATAGCTTTTAGCAACAGTGATTGAATCAGTTATAGTTCCTGCTTATTGGCCTTTGTGGGATCTGGCTACAGGCTTTGAATCTAAAAATTTCCTCAGGATCTTGAAAGGAAATATTAGAAGCAAAATCTGTTTATGTCCCACAGACTGCTCTGGGTGACCTATACATTTGTCACAGGCAAGGCCTCTTCTAGGATGGTATTTGGGTACCATCAGCAGTCAGATTATCAGATTTTTACAAAGGCATCAAACTCTGGATAATCCCTTTGTTTACAACCAGATAGATAGGGGTTCCTGAGACTCCAAAGCAATGAGTAGTAACAACTGACTGTCCTCCACTTTTTAAATTTTTAATTCTGCAGCCTTTACAACTCTGCCGATTACTTCTCCTTTTTATTAAAATGAAAATAAATGTACTTCGAAGCAGGTGAAGGCTTTTTGTGACTGCAGCAGCTCTAACCAAAGGGAAAAATACAAAGAAGCTATATAAACATGAGTAAGATTTATTTTTGGAAAAGAAAACGTCATTTGAGGCATGCAGGAAAATCAAACATAAAATAACATGTTTGCTAGTAAACTCACAAGATTATTATGTTAATGGACCAAAGAATTGCAAAAACAAACCCCTACTATACTTTAGTCAGCTATGAGGCTGGGAAAAGATAGCCATAGATCCATGGTGGGCACCCTATGACTTCAAAAGCCCTTGTTCAGTAGTAGCTATGAGCATGAGAGCTCCAATGCTTACCCAAATGTTTCCCCTTTAAGGGCAAGGATTCCCCTATTCATTTCAGTGAAAGGTCTACATATAAACAAGTTCAATGGTATGCATATAGCAAATAAAATGAAAACACCCATGTTGCCTAGGATAACTGGGGCAAAGAGTGTCATCATGATGCCCTGCTGGAAACCCTGGGGAGTCACTATCAGTGGTTGTAGATCAGAGAGAGGGAACCTGTGGTCTTCCGAGATGTTGATCTTGCCAATCTCTCATCACCCCTGACCACTTGCCATGCTGGTTGGGACTAAGAGGGAGGCGTTTCAGCATGTGGCTTTGCTACTTGTCTTCCACACCCCTGGTGGTGGGAGCCGATCAGCGCCCCAGCTCTCCCTGAGTTTGGTAAGAGCCAGGGAGCAGTGGCGATAGCAGAAATGGGGTGCAGCTCAGCAGGCCAGGAGGTGGCAATTTCCTCTTTGCCTCAGGTGGCGAGATGGGTCGAATCACCTATACTAGGAGACAATACTAGCTAGATGGGCCAGTGGCCTGACTCATTATAGGTGGTTTCCTGTGTTCCTGTTGCATGGTTCCCTATGACTAATTTGATAAGTCCCTAAATGTAGCTAGGGTTGGTCCTACCATTAAGCAGAGTGAAGCAGCCACTTCAGGCAGCAGAAGCCAAGAGGCAGGCCCTGTGTACTCTTAAACTAGTCTGGTGCCCTTGGGCACAGTAGAGGATGATGTCCCATCACTAGTTTCAGAGTAACAGTCAACTGGCAGTTGGATCAGCTTCTGTATGTAGAATAGGGGGAAACCACCTTCTCGTCCTTCACTGGAAGAAGTGAAGTATCTTGGGCCTGCCTTGAATATAGCTAATGGATTAAGAAACTACATGAGTTTGACAGTGACCAAGTATAAATATTCAACAACCAAGATACTAAAACACTGAGCCAAAAGAAAAGCGTACATGGAAGAAACGGTATGAGGAAAAATGTAGGTAGTTATCAAGAAGCATCTGGTCTGTCTTTAGGTTCCTTGAAAATACGGATATTTCTCCCAAAAGAAATGGTTGAAAATGCATTGGCTGGGAGATGTAGAGCGAGAAAAGATTTCAAGTGCTCTGTCTCAATTTCCAGTACCATAAAAAGAATTAACTGGATAAAGGATAAGGTTTTCCCACACCCCCATCTCTAATTTATCTGACTTTATGACTGAACTATACGAAACAGAAAGCAATCAAAAGACCACAGCACTTAGGAAAGTGTATTATCTGATCAAATATCTTATCACTCATTCACTATAATCGACAAATTGAATTAAAGCATTTTTATTTTTTTTTACTGTCCTGTTATATCTCATATTCAAGAACGGAAAGAATCTTGGCAGACGATTAAGAAAGGAGGAAATAAACTATGCAGGAAATCTCATTTTCATATTGGCTGGTTAGTTTGCCATATGAATACACAGATTTATTAATTTAGATTTTTCACTCTATCCATGCCCAAAGGCTTTAGGCAGGTAATAGGATATTAATATGCCCATTCATAAAGTAGCAGTTACAATAAACAAATCAAAGCACAAGATTATAAAATGTTACACTCCTTGCAATGGCTTAACCACTACTACTACTAGAAAATGCAGGGCACCTCTTTACTGCCTATCACCATGAATACTGCAGGCAGGTCCCTGCTTGCTGACACGCCATTGGGTTTTGACTGACTGATTGACTGATTTTATTTCTATTCCGCTCTTCATTTAAATGAATCCCAAAGCGGCTTACAAACAATGAATTATAATAACATGATAGAACATAATAGAACATCACAAATACAGCATAAATCACACAGAATAATTAGAATCATAGACTCCTAGAGTTAGAAGGGCCATCTAGTCCAACCCCCCGCAATACAGGAATCTTTCACCCAATGTGGGGCTCAAACCCACAACCCTGAGATCAAGAGCCTCATGCTCTACCAACTGAGCTATCTGTCATCAGTGAAACAAGTACAATCCATAAAACACTCTTAACAAAGCAACGACTAAAGAATAAGCTAAACATCGCAATTAAAGCCAAAGTCATATTATATAATTAACAAATCAACACAGCATTTATAATCTATTAACATTAACAAAGCAGCAACCAAAAAAGTAAAGTAAGCCCTGCTCAGTTCACACTCTCTCTCTCCACACCCCCATGACTCATAATCTTTCACTCTATTCATCTCATTAAAATAAACATACACATAATGTCCATGGCAGCACCTCCCTTCTGAAGGTTCCTCAGGCTGGAGGTGGACCAGCACAAGTGAAACCAACCACCCCCTGATGGCAAACAGTCTCTCTCTGAACTATTTCTGAACTATCATAGTCCACAGGCTGATGACCCATGATAGAAATGGCCAAGTGAAGAGAGGCAAGGAAGGATCTTTAGTCTGGCCCAATTTCAGACTCTAGAGCTGCAATCCCATACACCAGGGGGTGCCAGCCTTTTTGCACCTGTGAGCACATTTGGGCTTCAGAGTGAATGCCACGAAGGCCAGTTCTCTGTTCCCTCCACACCCCCAGTTCAGCCAGTCCCTGGGAGACAAGAAGTGGGGAAAGTGTACATGCTTTACCAATGAATCCGGGCAAAAGTCAGCTCTAGTAGAATCCAATCCATAAGAAAGCACATAGAAGTGAAAGAGGAAAAGGGGGAAAGTGTCGCTCATCCTTCTTCAACACTTATGTACTTTTCAAGGAAGAAAAAGGTAACCTCCCTCAACAGGGGAAGATCTCAAGGGCATCACTGTGCCCATGGGCACCATGTTGGCAACACTTGTGATACACATTAACTCAGTGGAGCTTTCTTCTGAGTAGATGTGCATGAGATTGCATAAAACATGCATATGACTGTAAAAGACCTAGGTAGAAAGGAGTTGAATGTTTCCCCCCTTTCTTCTCAATGAAGCATGACAATGCCGTTTCTTTTCTCACTATTTGTGAGTGCAGATGTGCCTCTCTCCGTACGTGGTTTTCCAAAATTACCTCCAAGCTAGAGGTACTACTTGAACACGATTCAAATGGGATGAGTTATGGATGCTCAGTGTTTGGAGCTTCTGACATACTTCCTTTTCAGAATTTTTTCTTTGGGAAAGGGCGTTTCGACTAAGGCCTCACCATGGCGGCAGTTTACATCACAACTGCAATGTGGGGAGACCAGGGTTTAATCCTTTGCCTCCTGCACCGTGGTGCTTCAGATCAGGAATTCCAACACCAAGTTCCCACACATCTCTAGGTAAAGGTAAAGGGACCCCTGACCATTAGGTCCAGTCGTGGATGACTATGGGGTTGCGCACTCATCTCGCTCTATAGGCCAAGGGAGCCGGCATTTGTCCGCAGACAGCTTCCGGGTCATGTGGCCAGCATGACTAAGCCGCTTCTGGTGAAACCAGAGCAGTGCATGGAAACACAGTTTTTACCTTCCCACTGACCCTAAAAAGTGGTCATACACCATGGGGGGAAAGGAGGGCAGCAGTATCAATCTCAGACAAGCTCCCCGGATATAGATGGTGCTTCATCTGCACTCCAGTTTCTAAATACTCCTAATGAGCTCTGAGCGTGATATACCCTTTGTCAGAAACAATAGTCATGCCTTGTTTCCTGAAAGAGGACCTGTTCCCTCCCCTGTGCTCTCCCCTCAAAAAAGAAACTCTTCATTCAGGAGATAAGACATGGCTATTGTCTCTGACAAAGAGTATATTATACTCAAAATGTGTTCGCATATTAAGAAATTAGAGTGAAAATAAGGACTGCAAATTTCTTTCAAATATTTTGAGACCTGCATTTTTTTGGGGGGGGGAATCAAAATGGATCCCCCCCCTCTGCCACCTACAATGAATGTCTAGGCATCATTTGTCAAAACACTGGACTGGGTGGGAGGCTGGATTTCAAGTAGCTCTTACCAGTTAGGATGTTTCTCCCAATGCTGAGCTGAAACCTGCCTCCCTGCAAATTCCACAAGCTGCTTCTAGTCCTGTCTTTTGGAGGAAAGGAAAATAAGTGTGCTCCATCTTCTATGACAGCCCTTGAGAGGAGTGTTTCATCCATGCAGGTTGCTTGTGGTGGGTGCATTCCATCACTGCCCCATCAGCTGTCTCCATTTCACTGCTTGAAGCAAAATGGGAAGCGCCATGCTACCCTGCCGCTGCCGCTGCTGCCTGCACCACTCACCCTGCCACCTCTACAGCAATTTTGGGTGAGATTGTGCCCATTTCCAATGAGATCTCCCCAATATCATGTGGGATAGCACACATGTCACAATATCTCGTGTGATTTCACCGATAACCTTGCAAGAAATCAGCATCATCTCGCTCAACGTTGGCACTGTTGCTAGCGCCACTTCTCCCGTGGAGGCGGCGGCGTACTCATGGGGGTGACACATTGGAGGCTTCTGTTGCCAGAGGTGGCAGCCTCACCCCACCCCCACCCCCAATGACTGAGGCAGCTCTGGCTGTCATCATTGTGCATAACCATCTAACAATCTTTTACAAAAGTGTTATGGATTTTAGTAGAAATTAACAACAACAACAACAACAACAACAACAACAACAACAGCAGCAGCAGCAGCAGCAGCAATAATTTATTTATATCCCGCCCATCTGGCTGAGTTTCCCCAGCCACTCTGGGCAGATCCCAAGTGAGTGTTAAAAACAATACAGCATTAAATATTAAAAACTTCCTTAAACAGGGCTGCCTTCAGATGTCTTTTAAAGATAAGATAGCTGCTTATTTCCTTCACATCTGAAGGGAGGGCATTCCATAGGGCAGGCACCACTACCAAGAAGGCCCTCTGTCTGGTTCCATGTAACCTCACTTCTCGCAATGAGGGAACCGCCAGAAGGCCCTCAGCGCTGGATTTCAGTGTCCGGGTTGAACGATGGGGGTGGAGACACTCCTTCAGATATACAGGACAGAGGCCATTTAGGCATTTAAAAAAGGATGCTTTTATTACAAATGTAACTGAAGAAGATCGAAGTAATGGACCATTGTTTTTGGTTGCCTTTTGCATGTCGCTCACACCACATCCAATAAATACTGCTTGAAGACTCCATAAGCAATGTACGGATGCCACTAGGGGAATTTGACTGACAGGTGCATGGAGACAGTAGATCCACAGTGGAAGAAGCAAAAGTCACTGCACAAAGTCTGGAAAGTAAGCCACATTTGCTATGCAAAGAGGTTTCCAAAAATGCCCTTGGAATAGCTCTAAAGGGGGATTAGGCATATTCACCAAGGATAAGGCTGTCGCTACTAGTCTTGATGGCTATATTAGCTCCAGTTTCAGAGGCAGTGTGCCTCTGAATGCAAGTCACAAAAAACATGAGTGATATTGTGTTCGTGTCCAGTTTGTGGGTCTCCCAGAGACTTCCCAGATTGGCCACTCTGGAAACAGAATGCTGGACTACAAGACACTTTGGTTTGATCCAGCAGGGCTCTTTTTATGTGTAGGAAAATATGAAGACAGCAAGTTGCAGACCAATGTACAATGCAGTAGAGGGGAGGGGGGGAGACATGTTTGTGTTCAAGCCCATATTAAAACCAGGGGGGAGGGAACCACCCTACTAAGCCCATCTATTCTTTCTTGAATTTATATACCACCCTTAATCCGAAGATCCCAGGGCGGGTCACAACATAAAAATATAAAATGAGAACATATACTGCACAATAAAACAAGAGTAAAAACAAATCATTAACCCTCTCCCACAAATGTATGTTATTTATTAAATTTGTATAACACTTTATATGTGCATCATAAATACATATGCAGTACATTTTATATGTCATGTTGAATGTTTTTATGATTTTATGCTTTATTGCATGTTGCCTAGAGGCTTTCCCATGTGGCTACCAACAAAACAAATTTATTATTTCTGCTACTTAAAATATACTAAGCACTAACCCATTTCTGAAGTTTCACAGGTTTCGGCAGCTTCCAAGTACCCCTAAGCCTTCTCTGAATTAGGACTCCAGTCCTGGACTCCATTGCACACTGAAGATTCTCATTCCTTCTTCAGACTCAGGGCTATCCCTGAATATCAGCTAAATCCACTTGTAATTCCTGCTCCGACAAAGACTCTCACCCTGGGATTCCTTTCTTCTGCTTGTCCCTGTATCATATTGATTGAAAGGGAGCAATGTCTCACAGTAATGAAAAATGTGCTAATGGGGCCTTCCTCTTAATTAAATGATGTTTGACATACCTTTTTCATCAAAGCGTTGAAAGGACTGGTTGTTTCAACTAGATGGGGGCTACAGTAGAAACCTCTTAATTGGGATGCCTCAGTAGAGAGCCTTTTGTTCTTGTTAATTTGTAGGACTCCTAGATCTACAGTTTAGTGGGGAGGACACTGTACAGGCCCCCTCCCCATGATGAAAAGGCATTCGACAGGAAGAGGAACCAGCATTCTCCATTCACGGACAGAAATGTATTTCAATCCCCTTTCTCCTGCTGCTGTTAAGAGACACTTCCAGCATTGTGTAGCTTCCACAATAAGAGCAAAAATAACAGCCGGAAGCTCACAGTAGGAAGGCATTGTTCCACTTCTGGGTCCCTCACCCTGCCTCAGACCTCGCGAACACCCTAGCCATATAGAGAAAGCGCACTAATGACCCAGGCACCACTGAGCCATCTGTAGGTATCCTCATTATATAGAATTATTAGCCTTATTAAGCAGCAGCCATTGCTATTCAGCTACACAGGCAAAATCACGGTTCTCTGAAAAGATTAAAAATAAATACAGCCAAATTAAGTTAGTGTGTTTATGTGAAATAAAACCTCAGGTTAACATTATTATTATTATTATTATTATTATTATTATTATTATTATTTGAATTGGCAAACAAGTGATACATCAATTTTAAAAACTCATCAAAAACATCTCTAAAGCATCTTTAAAAATTTTCCAGTTGCAGAGTGGGAAATGATCTCAACTTAAAAGGCTGAGAATATTTTTCAGGTAT